CAATTTTATCCGTCTGAGAATCATCGTTCGATGAGCAAGAGGATATAACCATTAGAATGTCACATGAAAAAAGAACATTGCTAGATAATCATACAAATTTATTGCAGATAAACATTGTAATTTAATTAAAAAATCACGTTCTTAAAGAGCTTATTTCTCAAATTAAGATAATGAAAAAGGCTATTCTTTTGTTTCCGACAATCATAATTTATAATAAATAATATTTTACACTTTAAGAAGTTTAAAACTCTATAAAAATATATAATAAAAGTTTATATATATATTAATAATTTACTGTGCATTATTAAACAAACTTAAAGCGATATTTTACTGAAGCTTCCGTCTTGAATTAATATAATAAAAAACATCTATTTATAACTAACTTTAAATTAGATTTTTATATCAAAAATGCATCAATATTAAAACAAACTAAAGCACAATAACAATAAATAGAAGTTCGAAACCTCACATATTATTTATACATTATATACATTTTATAAAGCCGAAAAATGTTTAACTATTTTTTCCCTCGAATTAATATTTTTATCAAAGGACAAGGAATTGCAACAAAACACGGGAAAATCTCCGATGCGCAGTAACGACAAGAGTAACAAAAAAAATCATTCCCCATCGCGCGCTCGTAATGCAAGCGCGTTAATGAGCGCAATTAATTCGTCTAATTAATAGCCGCGACAGCAGTCGCCACCCATTCCCGTCTCCCAACACCGTCGTTTCTTTTCCTTCTTTCTCCGTGATATTATTTATAGCCAGTGGCATATTATATTCAGCACGATTTTCATCCATTACATCTCGCGGAAGTGACTCTCGTATTCCCCGACTTAAATTCGGTCGCGTTTAATTGCATTTCTCGTCAAACATCCTCTTTCCCTATTTCAAGATTATATAACATGTCTGATAATCCGATGAAAATTATACACTTGCGATCGAGACGACGAGAATGAGATTTGTTCAATTCAAAAGAACAGAAATATTTTATCTTTAAGATAAGTCCCTGTTTAATATAAGTTTATTTAATGATGTGTCACATTAAGCATGTAATAATATATGTTTATTATATAAGTGAATGAGATGAGAATGAGATTTCTTCAATTCAGGAGAACAGAAATATTTTATCTTTAAGATAAATGTACGTTTAAGTCTATTTAATGATGTGTCATTAAGCATGTATTAATATATGTTTATTAAATAATTTTGAATTCCTTCCAGTTTAAAAATAAGTTTGAAAATTTATATTGCAAACCACAATCGTAAAATATTAATGTATGGATATTAATTAAATTAAATTACCTGTTTTTAATTAAATTATCTCTCCTCTTGGAAATTGATTTTTTTTTCTTTTTCAGAGAAGCATATTTTTGTCCGTGTAAATTATTCAATCAATACAAACTTAATTTAATATTTAATTTAGTATATTTAATTTAATAAAATTAATTTAATAAAGCTATTCTCTCTCTTTATTTATTTTGCAATACATTATAACAAATATAATTAAGTTAACTTCTCCATTTGATATACACAGTATTTTTTATAAATATATAATATCAATTTATTCATATTACTATTTTTCATCACATGTATTTTAAATAACAGTATACATTAGAACAGTTTATATAATTGTTCAACCGAGATTCTCTCTTTGTTTGAGTGGAACATCACGTTATACCCTATCAGATGATTTGGAGATGGAGTGAGAACGAGAGACAAGGAGACGTGTTTATTCACCGTCGGTTAAATATACAGTATTCTAGCCTCCATTAAGGAAATGAATTTCCACCCCGTCTCTTCCGATTCTATGGCCTATCGTCGCTCCTATCTTTCCCTCTTCACAGAAAAACTAGTCGAGCATCCGCGCTTGCACATCCTCGATCTTATCCTCTCGAGACTCCTCAAGTTGTCTGGAATCGCAGATAGACTGCAACATTTGCTGCTTCTCGTCGGCCAATTATTTTCGCTAATTAACGAGAAGTGCTGATTATGCGGCTTTAAATCCGAAAAGATGCTACAATTTTTTCAAAAATATCTTGTCGTAATCCTTCATGAGATCAAGAGTATCAAGGACAAAGCTTGTACAATTTAATCTGCAAAAGTTTGACCTTCTTTTCGAAAATAAAAAATATTTCTTTCTCTAAAGACAAAAATATTCTTTCGCTCGAGAGAATTTTTATATCGCTTTAAAATCGTCTTAATAAATGTTGTTGTGACTTATGACATTACAATTTCTCGTGTGAAAAAAGGTTTATGCTGAAAAAAACGATTGTACCATATTTTTATAATTGTAAATATTTTGATAAGTAAACCTTCATATTGCGCGCAAAAGACGCGATAAAAATATTATCGATGTGATTTTTAAGATAAGACGATGTTCGTGTCGCTAACCCATCCATGAGACTGGTTGAGAAGACAAGCCGTTATCTGCGCGGAAGAAATTGCTTTTGGTTTTATCACGCAGTTGCGATTGATATAGATTGATCATCCTGACCCTCTCGTGGGGTAGATAAATCATTCTCAGGTAGATAGGGTTGAACGATGAGCGTGACTGGTCGCCGAGAAATCTCGAAATCCGCTGCGCTCCGAAGAACTTCCGATATTTTCGGTTTGTACTTACAGGCAAGCGTAATTTTAGTTACATTTCGATCCCATTTTTTATTTCATATGTCACTTTATACTCTTTCCGCTTGTGGTCTTTTAATCTTCGAATCTAATTATTACTCTAATTATTATATTTTCTATCTTATTATTATATTATTTAAGTTATTATGTTCCTTCATTAATTTTTTAAATTTATTATATTTCTTAATTTATTATATTTTTTAATTTATTATATTTCTCTAATTTGTCACATTTTTTAAATTTTATTATTATATTATTTAATTTACTATATTTTTCATTATTGTATTGCATTTTTATTAAGTCTGTTAATTAATCAATTTTTGATAAAACTTTATTTTTTTTAATAATTTTATATTCTAATTTTCTATTTAATAATTTTTAATTCTACTTTTATTGAATTTACTCATGTATACAATGTGTTACACGTATCATCACAAATAAGCGTAATGTAACTCAAAAACAATGTAATTGCTTTCTGAGTGCACTTTGCAAAGTGAATCGTAAAATAAGACGTGATCTTCCAGCTACGACGGGGTCCCGGTAGGGTTTCAACCCGTGGACGTCCATTGGAAAGCAGGAGCCTTTGTGGACGTCAACATACTTCGACAAGTTCAAAAAGTCACCGATGTACACCGGCCGATCTACTTCCTTAACTTTACCGTATCCTCATCCCCGGAGTACTTGGGGAAGCGGAATAAAAAAAACGCTCGATCGCTTTAAATCACCGAAGAGGATCGAAAAGTTTTCCCAAATGCCCGCCGTCGTATTTAAGAGTACACAATGTTGAGAGATAAAATACTTGGCAGGATAACATGATCAACAAGATTTTTTAAAGAAACAGCTGATCTTTGACATTTCGGTGCATTCATTTTCAAGATAAAGATGTTAATTATCTAACTTATTTATTTAAGACACGTTGTGAGGAAAAGTTTTAAATCAGCATTTTTTCCCAAACAATTTAAAATTATACATACGAATTAAAAAAAAGTATATGTTCACGGAGGAGGGAAGAGGGTTGTGTTGTTCGTTTTAAATTAAAAAAAAATACAGGGTGTCCCAGACTCAACGAATCAGCTGTTAATATGATAGATTCCTGAGATCATTTGGAAACGAAAATCAAAATGTTGAGGAAGATGTAGTTTCGGCGCTACAAAAGATTAAAGATTACCAATCGGCGTGTTACATTCTCCTATGCTCAAGGAGCTCCATAGCATCAAGAGTACAGTAATATCGATAGAAGGATGAATATAAAATAAAAAATAGGATTCTGCAGTGAGTGCAATTTTCCATACGACAATAATCAATAGTTTGAACATTTTTATGAAATCTTCCTCAACATTTTGGTATTAGAATTTTCGTCCCCAAATGATCTCAGGAATCTACCATTAACGGCTGATTCGTTAAGTCTGGGACACCCTGTATAAGAATATAAAATAAAATCTAAGATTTTGCATGCGAAAAGAAAAAAGATAAATAGAAATCAATCATGAAGGAATAAAATTCCTCTATTTTATAAATAAGTAATCTTTCGAGAGAAGTTGAAGCGAATGACCGATTTATGAAATGTATGAAATCGATTTGCAACCATATAACACGGTCGTTTAAGGAACACGTTGCTAGACACCCCTTCCCCGCGCCTGCCGGATAGGGATGCGACGATGCTTCTGACAAATGGCTCTGTTTACAATGCGTCTAACCGAGCGATCCTGCACCCTCCGTTAGAAACGTATAATAGAATACCGTCTCACGTGTCGAGATAAGCCCCTTCACCCCTCTCTTCTTGCCAAGCCTTCGATAACCTCCCAGCCAGCCCGTTTCCACCCCTTCCGCGATTCCTAGCGCAAACATCCGCTCGAAAGCGATGATCGATCCGCCTCCACGTGAGACGTCGACCTGCACGTGCAGACCGAAATCATAATTCGCACCCTTCATCCAACGGTATAGGTTAATCCCTTTCCTATCAGTGACGGGGGTTGTCACGAGTAACGCGAGAGATATTTTACCTGCAGGATATCCCGAAGCTAACAGATGTAATTATATCTCAGTAAGTGTATTTAACAAATTTAGAGAAGGATTCAAAATTGAACCAGAGTATCCAAAATTTATCTCTCTCATCTTTTGTTAATTTTAAAATACAATTTTAAAATAAACGCGAATGTCGAATGGATTTCTTTAATCAGAAATGTAAAGCAATTTTGAAAAAAAATATACCAAAAATATTCAAGGACATGATTTATTTTCACGCACGCATATAAAATCGTAATCCCAATTATGTATATGATAAGAGATTAAAATCAAAAGAACGAATTCTAATCGAGCTTCGAGATACGATGCGGTAAATGGGTCGATTACAAGAAGTGTGTACGAACCTGTTCTGTTGTTCGTCGACAGTGACGGACGGGAGGGTTGCTGGTCTTCGGCAAGAGGGTTGCTCGCCCTGTCGTGCTCACCGGTCCTCAAACCGCTCGAGAGCGGCCAGTCGATCCTCCTTTGAGCCCTTCGCTAGTCCCGGAACGAGCCCTATGCCCGACTCGCTCGTACTACGCATGCCAGGAATTCTGCAACAACCAGGAGGCATCCTTGTCATTCCGATGTCTGCTTGCATGCGTATCTTAATACTTACTTAGTGTACAGAGTTTCAAACACGAGAAAATGGATAACAGACCGATTTCTTGAGAAAAGAAATTGTAAATTTGACTAAATATTTTCAACTAATTATTATTTTTTAATTGAAATATTTAAATATTTAAATACGATATATTAAATCTAACATCTATTTTTTTTAACTTAAATATTTAAATATTTCAATTTTAAAAAAATAATTAGTTGAAAATATTTGGTCAAGTTTACAATTTTTTTTTCTCAGTGTAGCATGAAATATATATATAATAATATCATATAGTATAAACGGATATGTAAATAATCAGTTTGAATAATAATATCAATTGGAGAAAATTCTTACTTTTAATTAATATTAATATTCTAATCTGATCATTTCTTTTCAGAAAAGAAACCATATTTTATGTTTATGAAAAGCTCATCTGATGTTCATTATACTCTATTTGAAATTCGCTTTGATATCTAAAGAATTTAGTTTGAAGCATTAAATAAATAAGTTTATCTTCGGTGTTCCTCGTTTTCATTTCTTTTCTCCTTGTTGCGCGCATCCCTCTCAGAAGTCGAGGAAGCGCAAGGGTAAAGGAGAGGTCGGGGTTAAGAATTTCACTAAATGACGTAACTTTTATCGGCGAACATCGCGACTTTGCAAACTGTGCTATTGCGAGGAGAAGCCGACGCCGACGATAACAGGACGACGATGAGAACGAGGGCGACGGGGATGGCGCTTTTCGTCTTGATGACGAGAAGGTGCCGGAGGTACGAAGTCGTTTAAAGTTAGACGAGACTTTGACGGCCGCGCACCTCTTCCTTCAAATTGACCCGGAGATAGTGGTGGATGGTGGAAAAATGAGAAGGTATGGTAAGCATAAAGTATTCCGGAGAAAGAAAAAAAAAAACGGAAGAGGAAGATGTAACTCCGCGGAAACAAATATTCCTAAAATCCTGGCGTTTGATTAAAACAGAAACCTTTTTTTCTGCTTCCTCGCGAAAAAAAAATATTTTAAACATTTCAATTTTAAGTTCTGTGTAAAAAAAAAAACAAACATGGAAAAGTTTTAAAATTTTCTGTTTTCTATCCAAAATATTTTTTAAAAAACGTGATAAAAGATACAAATATAGAATGCATTTCATAAATATAAAATGTATTTTCGCAAAATTAGGAAACAAATTCTACAAAATTTGCAATTACATAAAATATTTTTATATTCGAAATATTTCTTGATTACACACGTGAATGTATTTTTACTATACAAATAGTACAAAACGTTTTTATTTGCTCTCAGGAAAAAATATATTTTGCAAAAATAGTGAAATAAATGTAACTTATAACAATTTTATGAATAACGTTATATAAATAACATAAAAAAGAAATTAAAAAAATATTTTATTCATTTCCATAAAAAATTTTAAGCAAATATGCAAACTGAATAAAAGGTAAAACTTTTTAATAATTTGTTAATATTTGAAAATATTCAGAAATAAAGACGGGCCAAATACAAAGGAAATTTGGTATATTCTTTTTTTAAATAAAAGAATAAATATAAAAGATCTTATAATATATAAACATTCTTTTATAAAATCAACCCAAAAAATTATGAAGAATAAACATTTTTTGTTTTATATTCATTATAATAAATTATAAAATTATAAAATTAATAATGTTTGACATATGCGTACGCGCGTATAAAATTAATAACAAAAGAATGATGTATTTTGTGTGCGCGCTCGAGTTACATTTCAAAAAATTATAGCAATATCTCTTATCTGTCAGTCTAAAAAGGGAATTGATGGCATATTCGAAGAAATTCGTTTCTACTTGAACTTTGTTCATCGCAAGGAAACATGACGCGCGATTTCTCGTTTCTGACACCGTCCAATATGGTCGCACTGCGCGAAAGTTTTAGAATTTTAAACGAAAATACACCTCGCTACATGCTCTCGCAACATTACTGAAACAACTGGGAAGACAAAACGGACTTCGGAAGACTGGCGATGGCCAAAGTGTCGGGATCTACCCGTCTCTGCTCTCCTTCCTCTCGCATTCTTCAAGAAGAACGACCAACTTCCCTCGCGCTGTGAGGGACTGTGGCTATGTCGACTACGAATCCGCGAATCAAACTTTTTAATGGAAAAGCCGGCTCGCCGGAATTATTTTTCGGGAACAGAGACGTCCTGGGCTTTCCCATCCACTTTGCTCGCCCTTCCGGCCGACAAGAAGGGGAGGTGATTTACATCGGGGGTGGTTGTCGCGCCCCCTCTTTCCCGTCGTCCCTCACCGGCACCGGGGATATTACCCCTGCAAGATGCGCCCATGAATCATTATGAAATATCTTCGGATAGCTCGGGAAACTCGCGACCTCAATGCCATTAGCGGCGGGGAATTTAGGAAAATTTGAAAAAGGGGATGAAAAAGCCGGAACCATTTTTAAGAATCCTTTCCCCTTCGCGTACCGCGTGTCACGCTATCACCCGATTATCGATAGAATGCAATTTCTTGTCTAGCTACTTTGGAGAAGTTACATATTTAATTGAAATCTTCATTTTTATAATTCATTATCTATTTAAAAAGTGAAATGAATAGATTATTTCGCTTTTCTATCTCTAGAAAAAACTAACTGCAAAGTTTATTCTTCTTTGTACTCTATCAAGTTCAAATTAAATTTCTTTATTATTAATTTCTTTAATTCTTTTTATTTTTGATAATAAAATGAATTTGAAAATTTTTTTCTCATCAAAATATACAATATTTATGTGCTTTTTATGCTGCTACATATCCTGATAAAATTATTACTCAAAGATATTATTAATATATTTCTTAATATATATTTCTTAAAAAAATAAACAATACGATTTCTATCCTTCAATGTAACATTCTAGTAATAAAATAATAATATAACTGTTCTTATTAATATTAGATTAATTTCTCAAAAGCATCGATTATTAAAAATGCATGATTAATACACATACGTAATAATGTATCACACATACATACAGATTTTTATATTGTAAAAATAAACCTTCCATGTCTCTTAAAAATTAATCACATTTAAACAAAACTTAATTATTTATTAACTTAATTATTTAATAAATAATTTAATTATTTATTTAAATGCAAAATGCGAGGGAAAAGTTCAATAGATTGCAATACAGTGCAAAGTTGGAGGACTCTTTCGATCGATGTTTTAATTTCAGGACGAAAAGGAGCAAAGAGCAAGGAGAGGGAGAGCAAAATGGATCGGGCATTTAAGAGATATAGGCATCCACGTTGATATGTGTATACATGTATGCATTATGACCTGTATGGGTGCACGTGAACTTAGGTAACGCGTGCGTGTGTATCGAAGTGTATATATCGATTTCGCGAAAAGGGGTCACCACCGCGCTACTTTACAGCATACTAAATCAATTCTTCCGTGCGCATCGGCCGTCGTTATACTTTCTTAAAGTTATGAACATGATGCTGAGGAAAAGCGCAATCGCGAATCATTGAATGCATTTGTCTCTATGCTACTCTCCTCCTTCCATCTCCTCCTTTTCTTCGATTAATTCGCGCATTTTTATTATCTATATGTCTATCCTCTTTCAATTTTTTATATTTCAAAAATATTATCCCCTACCTCTTCGCAATCTGTCTCTCTCATGTTGTTATTTTTATTATTGATTGAAAAAAAATGTATGTAAAATTATATATATACATATACATATATATATATATATATATATATATATATATATATACGTATATGTATATTATTTTACATAAATAATAATATATAAAACATTTATACTATTATTAATTATATGAATTATATAATTATATAATTATAAATTATATAATTAATTATATGAATTATATAATTATATCTTATAGAGTAAATTATATAATTATATAATTTACATTTAATATAATTATATGGTATAATTATATAGTTACGTAATGTTTCTTATTAATAATAGAAATTATGAATTAAATATTTATGAAGGATCTTTTAGTATAAAAAATAATTTTTGTCTAAGATATTAAATAATAATTTATCAGCAATATATAATTTTGCAAATAAATTTACTTTTTTTTCACGTAATTATATACATACATTATTTATATAAATGTGTATGTTATATATATAATGTAACATTTTATAAAACATTATAATCTTTCCCTGTCTTTAACTTCTATATAAATATACTATCAATAAATAAGTTTTATTTTACTTTTGTCCGAATTTCAATAATACCTTGGTTATGAATACCTACTGTTATAAGAATTATGTAGTTAGAAATACTAGATTTTCCGGAGATTATCTCGAATCCTAATTTTAATTTACACAAAATTTATTCTGTACTCATCCTAGATTACAATGTATTCTACTTCGTAATGCAAAATTTTAATACGAAAATTTACATTGTTCCAAACTTTTAAAAGCTAATATTTTGTTATTTAATTTTCATATCTTAGTAATCTTAATTCTAATGAATTTAATAATTCAACTCAACAATTTTTACATTGTAGTTAGATATCTAAGCGATGATCATAAAAATATTCCATCTAGTTATTCTGTATACACATGTTGATATTTACTTTTCAAAATTGTCAGTGCCTATTTCATCATGTGAAAAAATACATTTGCATTAAATTTAAACATTCTGATAATTTGGACATTCTAATGCTAAACAATGCAATGCTAAATCTATACTTTTTACATACTGAAATATTTTTATTTTATATTTATATATTTATATATTTTATATTTATTTTTAAAATATTTGATTAGTAACATATATTCACTTCAGTTATATCACTTCAGTTATAGTAAATTTTATTCTTACCGCGTGGTTTTTATTTTTATGACGCCACTATCAACTCAGAGTTCGTGGCAAAAACTCAGGAGCCTTAAATCTATCTTTAGTAAAATAAAAAAAGAATTAGAATATTTTTTCATGAAAGAAAAAGTAAAGTAAAAATAACACTTCATATTTTTGGCATGACTCTTTTTACTTTGATCTTTGCTACAGCTTTTTTTTTGAAATGTATTAATAAGTTTAAAAGTCTTTTTTTGTGAAAGAGAATCAAGACTCGTAACATCGAAACTCCGTAAATGGGCTGCTAACTTTATGAGGGCTGTGGATCAGCCGCGATAAACGCGCATTCTGTTTGTGACTGTCACGAAACTTTCCGGATTTCGGCTGAGCAGCGAAAAATTTCTCCGGATCCCAGAGGAGGATGCTCAAAATTTATGCCCCTTTCCCCCTTTACTACTCTGCCTTTCACGCCAAGCGCTGGCGATTAATTTCAAGCTCTCGCTTTTCAGCGCATTTCGGATGCGCCTCTCTAATGGCGCCACAAATCACCACTGTAATGATCCCGATGCTAAAAGAAGCAGGATCATTGCCACTTGAGTCTCTTTTCTCCCATCTCCCTCTTCCTTCGTCTTCGGCATGAAATCATCCCATCAGTTATCGATTTTCGATTGAAATATCATCTATACACGGTCCATTTCAAAAGAAACGATTTAAATTGTAATATCAAATTCTTTAGCCAATTTAAAATAGATTTTCTTTCACGAAAAATTTCGAGAACAGGAACTTCTTATAATTTTAAATATGCAGTTTTAGCTATATATCTCGGTAAATAAATTTTCGATCAAAATATTGTAAAAGTAATATTAACTTAAATTGATATGAAAATTTAATTACAATCAGAGCATTTATATTTATCATTTTATCTCTATTATAGCTAAAGACATTATCTATCAAAAAGATATATCGCATAGAAAAATTGATCTATTAAAGAGATTGTATCATAATTATTATGGTTTTTATCCTTTATGCTTTTATTCTTTATGTATTATAAACAATATTAAATTTATTTTAAATTTTATGGTTAATATCTGTTCTATAATATTTTTTATACATTGACGTTTTCAAGAATAATAAAGACAGTTAATGGTATAGCTTCACGCACAATTTAACTTTTAAATTTGCCTTTAATATCATATTTATCTCCGTGTCCTACATGCAGACCGAAATGTCTGATTAATTATTTATGATTAATAAAATAAATATATATCAACAAACAAATATTAACGAAACCGGAGAAAATTATACGGTAATTAATTCCACTGATAGAAGATTGCTATTTTGGAAGAAGTATTACTCGTAAATTATAATTATACCACAACAATTTATTCTGCTATATTTAACTTCTGTTTTTTATTGCGAATTATAATACCTGTTTATATTTTCTTCGGTTTAATTAAGTTCTCTCTATATTTGCGTCGTGTTTATTCTATCCACATAAATTAAAGAAAATATATAAAATAAATATATTAAAAGCAAATATAAGATATAAATATATTAAAGAAATATAAGATTAAATATATTTTAAAAAATATATAAAATAAATATATTAAAAAATCAGAAAATGACTAAAAATTTTGTTTTCCAGTATTCTCCTAAAATTTAAATGATTCTATGATTATTAAATATATAATATATTTAAAAAAATATTCCCTTCTCTCTCAGATCGAGCCTTTGCGAATTTCGTCCGAAAGACGATTTCTCTCATGCTTATCCATCAGCGAGGGAAAGCAGGAGAAGAGGAAGGATGCGGAAACGGATGCGATGGCGTGTGCATCGCGGGTAGTTTTCATTTTGCGAACTGAATATGATTTGCCGTACGAACGAGCATGTAGGTTAGCGCTTTCCCGAGGCTTTATATACCAGCTGTATGGGGGTGAGAGATGGGACTGCAGGTTGTGCTACCGTTTCTGACCCTCCTCCGACTCCTACGCTCTTTCACTCCCGCCACGCCACCCTCTCGCCCCTTCCTGCCATCTTCCCGAGGGAAATGCTAAAACTTAAGTTGCTGTTTATTTCGTAACACGGTGCTGCCGCTTTCACACTTTTCGGTGCAAAGTTCGTGACTGCCTTAGTTATTATTTCCAATGCTTTAAAATCGTAAAATGGGGCGTGCCGTTGAAAGAAATAATTATCTTTCATTGACATAACAAATAAATCTGTCTCTGAAATTAAATTTATATATTCCGTGTAAACGTTAGCATTTCCTCGATTTCTTCATTAAATTTATATATTTCATATTAACATTTCTTCGTTTGAGCGAATTCAAGCGATTTTTTTAAATATTTAAAATATATAATTATTCTTTTATACTAAATAAATATATTATATAATTATTTTATAATAATATTATTTCATAATGATTATTTTATTATATAATTATATAATTTTCTTTGTTTCTAAACATTTAAAATAAATATATAACTATTTTAAAATATTGATGACTTGTGAGATATCTTTAAAAAAAGGAATATCAGTTATAAAAATTTATTACTATTCTTTCATGCAGAAAAAAAATGCCGCAAAAAATGATGATTGCATTGAAATATTATATCCCCGAAATACGGCAAAATAGCTTATCGATGTGCGAAGATAATTACATGCCATGTTCTTATAAAGATCTTTATGAGAATCTCTTAAAAGTTCTACAAATAATGTCAATATTGTTACAAATTTTTCTCGTTATTAAAATTAAACGATCTCTTCATTGATTTTCATCGAAATTGCTATTTTATGTCGTTTTCGTATCAATATTAATAATTAAATTTTTAAAGCCTTATTTTTGAAATTGCAAACAAGAGAGGTCTTTTATTATATTTTTTATATTAAATTATATTAATTAAATTTTATATTAATTTAATTGGCAAATTCATTTAGATGATTTTATCACATTATTCTTTTTCAATTTTGTAGACCAATTTATTATACAAGCCGAAAATTCATTAAACATTTTATTAATCAACAAAATTATATTTCGCGCAATATTGATCAATTTAAAATATATATAATTAATAAAAAACAGATAGTATTAACAAATTTTTATTATTATTCTTATAAACCACAAAAAAAAAAGCGAAATGATACTTTGTCGACACCTACAGAAAATAAAGCTTTTTTTAAAATAATTCAATTTATGTTTTGCATACTTTCTGTAAAGTCCCATTCGATCAATCCTTGCACTTATTTTGATAATACAAAATGGCGTGGCGAAATACTCACATCTCGTGAAACGGAGAGACCTGGTCCTTGACGCATAATCCTTCCAAGGGAGGAAAATCGGCAAAACACGTTTTCCGTAGCACTAGCAATTAATCTCACACAAGACTCGTACGAAATATCTAAAACTACTCATCGGTCCATTGCCGAAGTCACTCGATCTCCATCGTTCCTGGCGTGCCTGACGCCTATCAGTCTAATTCTCGGCCATGTCCTTGAAAGAAACGTTACATTTGATAACTTTCTCGGACGCTATTCGTCAGATTCATCCGCCTTCCATGAGGAACCACCATCGTTTGTCGCTCCGTAAATCCCATGGATCCTTCAGCAATCATCCCGCTCCCACGAGTCCTTCGATCTTCGTAAGAAGATCTCCCTCTTCCCGAAGGCGGAGAATATTCGTCTTTCACTCTTAGAATCGCGAGGAAAGATCTACAATTTTTGTCATCACGCAATTCTTCTCGACGAGGAGGATATTTGTCAAGCGACTCGTGATGTTTCTCGACAGACGCACGAGTCTTCGTGAAGAACAAGAATCAACGATGCGCAGAGAACATTTTTCAAGCAAACAGAAACATTTTTGGCGGCACGAGAAAGCCCAATTTTTTTCTAGTACCAGGATGTCTTTTTCTTTGGAGGAGATGAACATTTCTCGCGATGCTGAATTTTCTAAGCTACTCAAAGGGAGTTTCCCAAAGGGATTCGAGCGCTATTTTGCGATTTAAAAATAAATCTTTGGTGGGGAAGTGCGATTTTTCCCTGCTAATTTTGAACGCTTCCGTTGAAGGAGACAGATCTACATCTTGCTTTTTCGCAGAATCCTATCAACATCAGCACGCGATTCTTCGTTCCTGAAGACTCCTGCAGGTTTCCTCAACATGCGAATCATCATCTTTCCTCAGTAATTGATCATTCGATGTCGGATGTAAAGCGACGTCAACTCTTTTCGAGGACTTTTCCTCAATAATCAATCAAATATTACCTCAAGTATCCTTGTATTTCCTCGCTCCATTTAAGGATTCGCCTCTCGATGTACAAATCTAGCCTTTCCTACTCTTCAATGATTCCATTCGCCAAATGAACCGAGATCAATTACTTCCTTGAATTGAAGTCTTAAGTGTCTATGCAACATTTCTCCGCTACTGACGTAGAGATCTGCCTTCCTGCCCGCATGACACTCCCCGATAAGTATCGCAGCACAATTTATCCTTCATCAACTAATGGATCCGCGCGTCTCCTCTTCCCGCATGATGATACTCCTTAAAAACTGCACCGATCCACAAAACTAACCCGCGCACTGCTCCCCTTTACCGCCTAAAACCTGGACACTTTTCACCTGCCTCAATAATACAGAGATCCACGCCGCAGCCCTCACCGCACAGAATTCCGCGACAATCCATCCGAGCGCACAATCTCCTCTATCTCGACGGATTAAATCCACGCCTCTTCTCTACGCGATCCCCCTCGTCAAATATTAATCACTCGGCGCACAACTTTTCCTCTCTTCCTCTCTCGCTCTTTCTCTCATTCTCTCTCCTTCTCTGTCCCTCTCGAGATCCAAATCCACGCCTTTCCTGCCCCGCAAACAAAGTTTCTTCACCAAGTAGCCATATCGCGCACAAAAGCTTTCCTGGCCAAAGGCAGAGAACGCTCTTCAGCCTTGGTACACGAATCTACGGGCCTCCGGGCGACGAGCAGAGGAGAAATTCGAGCGGAAGCGACGCGGTAACCCAGTTTCCAGCGGGAGAGCCGCTCCTCCCGGCATGCAGCGCATAAAAATGGCTCCAGTCCCAAGGCGTCGGGGACGTCGCGACGTCCTAGAACGTCCCAGGGTTTCCCGAAGCGCCGAAACGCTGTCTGCCTCGGCTGATTCCTACACAAGCGACACCGATTCTCCTCCGGAAATCACTCGCTCCACTTGGTCACCGGGAAGCTTATCGTTGCAATAGCGAAATGGGAGAGGAAGGGGAAGGAAGAGAGAAAGAGAGAGAGAGAAAGAGAGAGAGAAAGAGGGATAGAGAAAGATAGATAGAGAAAGAAAGAGAGAAAAAGAGAAAGGAGAGAGATTACTCCGAAAGTCGGACGTCGTCTTCGACGAGTCGCACGGACGTCCCGACGCCTCCGCCAGAGAATAACCTCCGCGCAGCCAAAATGGTGGACGGCACTCCCGAGGGTAGATTGACGTTTCGCTCCGTCTGATTCGGCGCCGCTCGATTCCGTTTCGGCCAACGTCAGACCTCCGGCGAGCCCCTCGTCGACCCGCACGAGCCTCCCCTTGTAGACACCGCTCCGCGCCGCGCGGGGAAGCTTCCGCAGGGAGATCCTCGGTCCACCCTAGACGACGTACGAGCCTCTCGAAATGGACTTTCCGCACCGCTTCCGCCCCGCGCGATTCCACTCGGACGCGCGCGCGCGCTTGGCCGCGCGCGGCTACACTTCCGCGGGGACGCTCAGCGTCGGGCGCGCTCCACCTGACCGTCGTCGATCGCCCTCAGCGTCGTGGATGGACCCGTGGGGCAGGACAGCGTCGGCAGGATCCTCGCCGAGAGCATTCCAGGGAGGGTGGACCGCACACGCCGCGCCATCTGACGCTCTCGCGGCAAATGCAACCCCTCGTCATGGCCGCCGGACCAACCCCCTCCGAGTCAATAATAGGGCCAGAGAACGCGGATTCCGCGGCCGCAACGCCTACGCGACGTCATGGATAACGGCGTCATCCTCCGGAGGACGTCGCGTCTCGTGGTCTATTTAAAGGACGCCGGACACCCCGTGGCCTACCCTCGCCCTCTGTCTCCGTGTGCGCGCCCTCGTTTCTCCTTTTTCCCTTTTTCTTTCTTCTCGCACGCGATCACAACGCCGGGGCCAGCCTCTCCGAGGTGTTCGGGCGACTGCGCGATTCGCACTGAATGCATCCCCGCATGGGAACCGAGAGGGTGCGAGTGGTGACCAGGAATGTGACTAGAAATTTCATGGTCCGAGAGAGCGTCTTCCTTTCCGCGTTTTTTTCATTTAATCCATTAGCCGTATTAAGGGGAGTTCCGATACCGCGGATAAAAGAGAGCCGAGGAAGCTAATTGAAAAATATGACAATTCCTTGCCTTTCTATTCACTTTTAACGAATTTAAAATATATGCGTTTGTACAAGTCTTTTTTTTTCAATTTTATCCCAATTATATTTTTATATTTTTAAATAAAAAATATGTACAATGAAATATTTAAACATTCAAGATACTTTCACTTCATTTAATAAAGTTTGCTCATCACGTGAGTTCTACGAAAATTAATGTATTATACGAATGGACGTAATAATAATAATGATATAAAATGTTCTCTCCTTAAGAGAAAAAGATTTGCAGCTTCATAATATATTCAGCTAAGGCGAGTATTCATAGAGTGGATTTTTTAGAATGAATATTCTTACTCACGTAATTTATTTTAATATAAATCTGTACTTTCTAAGAGAATAATAAAAGTATATTATGTATATATATTTAAAAAAAAGTTAATATTTATACATTATTTTAGATAAGTACACACACACAATTTTATATAAAATTAAAACTCCGAGAGAAAGGAAGAAGTCTTTCTTTCATGAAACACAAAAATAATATAAAAATAAAATAAAAAATAAATATATGTAAATAAAAATAAAACAAAAAATAAATATACGTGTAAAAAAATAATATACTTATTCTTGCACGACTATGTAGGAGATGTTTGAGTAAGACATTAAATCATCTGACAATTTAAACAAAACCTCGATAAGTTCTAATCTGGATAAATTCGATCGAGGTCTCGAGACAATTAATAATCTAATTTAGTAATCGTACTATTAATATAATTTAAATAACATCTTGGATTATTTAATGGAAGACGAAAACTAAATACAATTTTGCACTTGCAATAAAGTGACAATTCCGCCTCTCGATAACGTCCCTGTCGAGGACGCACGAATGTTGCCGGAAATGCGCGACGTCCGCAGTGAAACGATGCTCTCGCGGAGGCATCGCGCCGTTTTGGGACGACGAGGGGGTGGAGGGAGGAGGAGGAGACAGACGGGGGGATGAGAACGAGGGTTGGTGAACGGGAGCGCGCGAGTGGGTTGTTTTGTCGCCGAAATTGGATATGAATAATCGGAGAGCGCGCTCGCGCGAAGGGGTGCTTTTGGGGAAGTTACGGTGCTTTTCGTGGCGGGCGAAAGAATGCGGCGATTAGAGAAAAGAAATACGAAGTATGAAATTCTGCACGAGCAAAAGAATATGCGACGAATATGTTCAAGGGAGCCGCGTACATCTAGATTTTTGTTCATGTTTATTGCATGTTAAATTCAGTACCGTGTTTTTTTTTTCTTCTTCTCGATTATTCGAAAGTATTGAGGAAAAATTTCCTCGTTGTTAATTTTGCGTGAAGTGGAATAAAATAAGAAGCAACAAAAGTAATTAAAATTAATTTTTTCTTCTCGAGAGAAGTAATTATTTTTATTTACCGCAACTTTGCAATTTTTAGAATCATTTATACCTTTATAATGAAGCCTCGAATTAAAATTCTATTAAAGTGAATTCTACCGAGGATTAGTTGAAATTTAATTGATGAAACTTTTTCTTTCTTTCTCGATTATTTATAACTGAAATATTATTGAATATCTTGACAGTTTCGCTAAAAGAAAAGTCTTTAAATTGATCGAATGATCGAATTTGTCATTAAAGAATACCAAATCTCTCTAAGAGAAAGATAATACATAAAATATTATCAACATATCAAATAAAAATTCTTATTAAATTATATAAAGTTCACATACATTTTATAAGATCAAAAATGCCGCGAAATTAATATTAAATCTATATTAAAGACAAATGTAAAATATTAAAATATAGAGATTTTTAACGAGAGTTTCTTAACAAGAATGTTCTAGAAAAGGTGAAATGTGATTATATTCGTATCAAGGCAATAAATTTATAAAAGCGGCCAGAATTTCGCTATTTTTATTAGCTGGAAGTGCTCAACATGTTTTCGCGATAAGAATGCACATATCGCCGTCAATTATCACTAGGATTTCTAATCAATATTTGCACACGCTGCCTGGTATTTTCCAAAAACCGAAAGCCACTTTAGTGCAGCAGTATTGGCTTTATGTATAAAAGACCCCGACTCTTTCCATCATTAATGTTTATATTATTCGCGAGTAGAAGGTAAAGGCAATAAAACCAATGACGCTGAAAGTAGTGCGTGAAAAAAAAATATCAATTATATTGCGTAACGATTAGAATATGCCAATATTACATAGTATAACGTTTCGACCTTACTCCAGGTCCTTTTCAATGTCAAACACTCAAAATTACAATGTATGGAAATACTTTAAAATTTAAACGTCTGTCGACAGATTTTCTTGCCTATAACTTGCGTTGTATATTATATAATATTGGCATGTTCTAATCTTTAAGCATAATTGATAATTGATTTTTTTCACGCACAACTTTCAGTGTCATTGATTCTGATATTGCTTTTATCTCTTACTCGTGATTTTTATCATATGAACCTCTCTACTGATTTATTGTAGTTTATATTATTATTATTAATTACGTTTGTTAGGTTGGGATAATAATAAAAAAATGTTTATAAACTCTTCAATTTCGATTATTTAAACGTTTGAATATTTACGGAAGTTTAGTCTTACGGAAATTTAAAATCTTGAACTTTTCAACTCTAAACTCTGAAAGAATCCTTGTTAAAAATTTTGACTTAACTTATTTTTGAATTTAAAATCTTTTAAACTTTTTGCGCGCACATGAATATTTGAAGAATATGTCATAAAGTTTTCAACTTTGTATTTTCAGTACTTTAATCGTCGGATCTTTTTATTTTTGTAAATTAAAATTTTTGAAATTTAATATTTTCGAAACGCATACATTTTTTTTGTAATGTTTTTATCATTCTATCTTAAAATATGAAATCGTCACAGGCTCAAATTTATATTATAATAGATCGGCCTTGACATAGCTTTTATAGATCCCCACGTAGATACACTGGTGGTTAGTGAGCGTATCATCAAATCACGTGACGCGTGATGATGCCATAAATAAATCGCATCCTTATCGGAATGTAAATGTATATTCACTTCGACTTTCCTTTATAGCAAAATTGTCGATCTCGAACCCGCAAGGGTCAGTCGACTTTATAACTAGACGCGTGAAATGTGACTTACATACCTTGTACATATCTGAAGAAAAGATGTTTTGTGCCAAGAATCCAGAAGTAGTCGAAGACAAAAAGATTATTATTTGGCCGCAATGGTTGGCTGCTCTCACAAGTAAGTCTTCTTCATCTAATTCAAATAAAAATAAACTTTAATTTAAAAAATTAATACGTGTAATAAATAAAGTTATTTAATTAATAAACAAACAAGTATTTAAATATTCCATATTAAATTAATAACAAAAATTAAGTATAATATGTATACTATATCAGAATATAGAAAAAAGAATGATAATTCCATTAGGAACTGTTATTTAAAATAAATTTTAAACTTTACTTAATAGAGAATTCTTTTTAGTTTTGTATACAAAAATAAATTCTTTCGCTCCAGTTTTCATTGCCAACTATAAAATAACATACGATTTTGCATACAGAGTTATTTATTATTTTTCCAACTTATATATTATTTTATTATTTATTATTTTCAAATAAATTCAATTGAAAAACAACGTGCATTTCTTATTCAAATAATAATATTATAAATAAAAGTACTTTTAAAAATAAAAGACTCACCTTTGTTTACTGACACTTAAAATATGATATCTTGTATGTTTCCCATGATGTGTCATGCGTTGTCAAACAGTCAGTCTAGAAGCCATCGTTAGTGGTCTGGCGACTGGTTGGGCTTCACCGTATTTAGCACAACTAACATCAGCGGAAACGGATACTCCTTTGAAACTGACCTATACCGAGGCATCTTGGGTGGCATCCTTTTTGAACCTCGGACGTCTGTTTGGGGCGCTCTTTGGTGCTCTTTGTCAAGGTAAAACTCCTCCGCCATTGCTCCTTTTGCTGAAAACAAGATTCATCGATCATAGCTTTAGAGATTTATCAAAATAAATCTTTTTGATTCGGTCAAATTCACCGCTTAAATTCTATTATAAAAAAAATCGTAGATCTCAACTAAGTTTCTATTACATAATTGATATATATGTCATGTTAAATTATAATATAACAATTAATATATAAATGTAATTATAATACATAATTCATAATTACTATACATTTTTATATTTTATATATATTAATATTTTAACAAGTGTATCGTAATGTATTTTTATTATTAAATAAGTATTTTTATTATGTGCATTATTTTATTTTTCTTATTTCAATAAGAAAATTGTTATATTACAAGATGAGATAAAGAAATCTAATCTTTTCTGTGCGTGTTTCTTTTTGTATTAGTCAATAAATATTATTCTTGTCGATATATTAATTGTTCAATTATTTAAATAGATATAATTTAAATCTTCTTCAGATTGAAAATGAGTAATAAAGAACAAGTCAGCCACGACTCAGCAATAGCCAAAAATAGGAAGTGATTCTTTGTGTTTTAAGTAGAACAATTGTGATATGATGAAACATGCTAAAAATTCTTAAAGACATCCTTAAATATCGTCCATATCCTTGTAGATTTAAATGTTTACATCTTTTTATATCCGGTAATATATATATATATCCTAAATTAAAATTCTTGTGTCCTTAAAATTTCCAATTCTTGAAATATTTGTGTCCTCGAAATTTTGTAAAATTGTAGTTCTAGAAGTTTTGGGAGAGTTAAAACTCTTATTTTCATCTTCAATTTTTCATCTTCAATTTTGACCAGAATCTTTGAACTTTTCAATTAATGAAATATTTGTATCTTTATCTTCGTAATCTTTATCTCCTGTCTTCATATATATCTTTTATCCTCTAAAAAAAATGATTTATCAACGTAAATGGAAGCAAGGAATGGAGTCTCTCATCTTGGAAGAGATCGAACTGCAGTTCTGAGTTGTGGTGATCTTGCTCTCGGGATGATATGTCTCTAACGCATGCCACGACACAATCCCTCAGAATATGTCGGACGAAAGAAGGTGCTTCTATTATCGAGCTTGCCGTTAGCCACCAGCTGGGTCTTCGACATCTCCACCACGACGATCACGACGTCGCTCTACGTTTCCAGATTCTGTTCCGGAATCGGATCGGGCATTTTGTGGACTACAGTGTCCTTGTACCTCGGCGAGATCGCTGACCCTACCATACGAGGCTCTCTGGTAATTTAATTAAGTTTTTTTTACTTCTCTCTTCTTTAATATATAATATATAATTATAAATAAATCCATAATATATATTATTATAAATAACTTGCATTGTAATTGTAACTATATCTTTTTTCCTTAATATCTATACAATTTTTTTTCAATTATTATAGTTTTAGATTATTTTGACATCTCTATATTTTGACATCTCTATATAAATAATTTCTATTACAATTTAATTAGAGTGTGAATGATGTAACATTTTTAATTACATCATCAGGAATATTCAATGCAACGGTGAAATAGATTAGTCGAGTTTATCGGTTAACCGAGTTATTCGCTTCATCGCAATATCTTTAATATTTAAACTTCGTTATCTTCTCTTAAGATTATCAAACTAGATTTCAAACAGAGTGACAAATTGTGATTTAAAACATAACTATATCAATATGAATACTTTTAAAAATTTAAATTATTAACATTGAGGTGATTCACAGCAATTAAAAATAATATTTAATAATTTATTAATCAGATAAATATAAATAATAATTTCTTTAAAAAAATATCGTTTTTCTATTATTGATTCTTTCATTATATTTATTTATTATAACTTAATTACTAGATTTTAATTATTACTAATAACGAATAAATAAAAGAATAAATTTATCAGATCGATAATAATACTATAATAATAATCATCATCTAATGCAAATAATAATAGAATTATAATAAATATATGCGACTATAAGAATCAAATATTTAAAATTAATTGCTGAATATTATCATTATATGTATAATAACTGAAATATATATACCGATTTTTATTTAATTTTTAAATTCTCTCTGTTTCTTTCTCATTATTATATATGAATAAAATCCACATGTTTCTTCAAGTTTTACATGACAAAAGCAATAACTCAACATGCGATTATTTGTTTAGATATCTATGAATGTGAATGTAGCATCCATGGGAATATTTCTGGGTAATATGATGGGTCCTTATCTATCCATGGAGATGTTCGCTTATGTGTGCCTCGTGCCGAATATCCTCTTTATAGTCCTCTTCAGTTTGATACCTGAGTCGCCCTATCATTACACTCTTTATGGTAATATCGACAAGGCCGAGGCATCTCTCAAGTGGTTTCGACGAAAAGCTGACGTTAAGGCCGAGCTGCAGCAGCTCCAGGACTTTGTTGATGGCGCCAGAACCGCTTTCCTGCCGAAGCTTAAAGACTTTCTGTTGCCAGGTATTTCGAAAACAAAGTGTATTATTTGATTCCATCTTCATAGTATATATTTCATATTCTTTGTATAAAAATATATATTTCTCTCTTTAAATCATTTCCAAATTTTGAAAAATACTTAACATAAACATAATTTTTTATTTGAAGAGATAGAATCAAGAAATTTAACATCCGAATAAAATTAAAAATTGTTGACATTTATAAATCAAAGTTTCCCAAAAAATTTTCAAAGATCTAAAAATATGAAGATTCAAAGAACTTTAAAGTTTCAAAAATTCAATTATTTTAAAAAATCTAATTACAAATATTCACAATTTTATAAAGAACCGTAAAATTGCACGACTTTAAATCGAAAATCTATGCAAACTGAGATCTTTTTCCTTGTTCTAAACGCAAATATTTTTCTTATACTATTCTTAGATGATAAAAAAATCATAAAATTCAAAAACGAGGATCAATAAATCTTTATGCGTTCCAGTGAATCTGAAAAAGATCCTGATGTTATTCGGCTTAAACGTTTTCGTCTACGCGAGTGCGTACAACACGATGAATTCTTATGCTGAGATCGTCGTCATCAAGTCTGGAGTAAGCATCACACCATCGATTGTGGTAATGGCGTTGGGTTTCTCCACGATTGTCGCCGGTTTCACCGCTGTCCTGGTGGTGGACAAGTTTGGCCGGAAGAATCTGCTGATCGTTTCCAGCATCGGCGTCGCCATTTCACTCATCGTTCTTGGCCTGCACTTTTATCTTCTTTCCCTGAATTTTGATTCTGAAAAGTTGACATGGTTGCCGATCACTTCGTTGCTAACGTTCAGTATCTTCGTATCTTATGGCTTCATCCCGATACCCGGTACTCTTCTCAGCGAGATATTTCCGGCGAACCTCAAGAATTTGGCTTCTCTTTCCATTGGCTCAAGTAATGCCATGTTATCCTTCCTATTCATCAAGAGCTTTCAGCCTTTTATCGATGCAGCTGGAGAAACAATCGTCTTCTGGACCTATGGGTTTGTCGTACTTACAGCAGTGCCCTATGTATGGTATTTGATCCCGGAAACGAAGGGCAAGAGCTTGCTGGAAATCCAGCGATCCAGCGATCCATTAAATAAAGGTGTCGTAAATTATCAAAGTTGTGATAAAAAATTTAATTCTATATTTGTCATTGATTCTTCATTTAAAAAAAATCAAAGAGATGATGAAACTCGATATTCATCAAAAGCATAGTTTATATAAAAGCAGTTTACATAAAAAAGTACTTCTAAGTATTTCTAAGTATTTCTAAGAGATTTCATATAAAGCTATATATTTAACTGTTTAGTATAAAATATAGCATAGGAAAAAAAATATTATATTAAAATATATTAAAATATTCCGCTTATATTAAAACAATATAATTGAATGCAGTTAAACGCAATTAATTAAATGCGAAATTAAATAATATTAATCTATGTAATTACATAATCTATGTAATACATAAATTTTATGCAATCTTTAATTTATTATATATTTATATATCATTTCTGCTTTATCTTTATCAATTAATTCCTTCGAATAATTTGTCTTGCTCAATTAATAGTGTTAATAATGTGAAAGCCTCGAAGATCTTATAAATAAATAATGATGATTGTATATGAAACAATCGAAACCCTAACAACACACATGTCCAAAAGATGTTCAGAGATCATCGAGAGGACATCCAGAGGACATAAAATATCCTTTGGCTATCCTCTAGATATTCTATGGACGTCTTTTGGACATGTGTGTTGTTAGGGAATCGAGTTTACTCAACTGTTTTTAGAAATAAATGTCAATTAAATATTATTACAACGGTAACCTCGTAATTAATTTATTGCACTTACACATATTTTGATTGAACATGAGAGTATTATCGGTATTTATGAAGTATCTTCAATTTGCTGCAGATGGAAGATTTCTGAATCGACTCTCGCATCGTACGTATATCTTTATGCATCATGTTATTAGCAATTAAAACATAATTTTCTGCAATTGTTGCGTAAATTATATAAAATTTATTTGGAAGATTATATAAAAATTATATTTTAATAGGAATATTTTTTGAATATTAATTAATTAACAATGAATGTTTTACAAAAAGCTGAGATAAAGATGGCGGAGGAAGAAAGTGCAAGCGTATTAATTGCATGTACATTTCCCAACAAACACCAAGTAACATTTATATAACTGTTAGTTGTAATTCCCCACTCAACAATATAAATGTTACATGTTACGTAACAGTTATATTGTCGAATAGGAAATTATAACAGTTATATAACTGTTGCTTGGTGTTTGCTGGGTTATTAGTTTCTCTGTAATTTATAATCGGATGAACGTTCGATACAGCTGTACAAATTATCATTATTTCCATCTTACGATTTTATGCCATTATTTATTATGCACGCTATATAATAAATGCCGAGACGCGCTATCACCCGCCAAATACTGCGGGTAAACTAATAATCTTGCGCTATCGAATACCCAGGTAGAACATGAAACTATACCTAAACAAAAAAGATTAAAAAATGAGTTAAAGATGACAAAAAGAATCATAAATTTTTAAGTTCAATAATCGCATTATATAATTTTAAAAAGATTATGTTGCTTATAAATATAATAAAAAATACATGAATATTATATTCCGCAATATATATTAAAATATAATAATAATATATATATATACATATATATATATATATATATATATATATATATATATATATATATATATATATATATATAATATATATTAAAATATACATGAATAATTAAATAAACAAGTAATTGTGTAATATATATAAAAAATGATATTAATAAGTCACCAAAACATACCAAAAGTATATCAAATGAGATCATTATGATTTTTCTAAAATGACTTTTAGGTAGCGTCATAATGAGTTTCATGTTCTACCTGGGAATCGCGCGCGCGACCTTGACATTAATGGGATTTCAAATCAATTTACCTTGGCGTTGCACCGACGCACCTTCTCCAGCGATCACCCACGTCGAGCGTCGTCGCACGAGATGATAAATCGCGAAAAAAAAACACCGAACTCGCGAATACGTCGAATTCAAACGCACGCACGAACCAGAGTAGGGCAGGAATGGCTATATGAAAAATAGCGGGAAGGAGGGAGAGGGAACAGATCAAAATGGAGGGAACGAACTTGATTGGTGGAACCGATGCGGAGACTGAAGCGCGATTCGATGATCGTTCGTAGCGATGTAACTTAAAAATTCGCGTTTCTTTTTATTTGTTTTTTCTTCTCGTTTTTCACTCAACTGTCAAACTGTCAGCTGTCAACTTTTTTCGCGAGAATTCGCAAGATCGTGTCGAAAAAATGGACAAGTCGCGTGCGAAGAACGCGAAACGATTTTCCTCACACTGCACTCGTTTGATTGGTCCGCTCGTCTATGAATATGCCTGTAGATGGCTCTGCAAATGCGTCTGGATGGATCATGATGCATGAAAAGATGCGAGATAGCGAACTTCAAGTAGTAAACTAGTCGACCAATCACAGTCGAGCGAGTTATAGCCTCAATTTGCGATTGGTCGATTCGCTTTATTTATTTCAACGAAATAATTACGATTGTTGTTTTCAATATTTTGACATCGACACATGTCACTCGCTGTTTCGCGTAGAAATAATTAATTTTCGGGCAATTGGAAGCTGGGAGACAATTGAATTTGTGACACGAGACAAATTGATGAAACGAACAAGAGCAGCTGCGAAAATTCAGCAGCAAAATACGATCGAAAATAATAAGAATGATGAAACTACACCAAAGATCGATCAAACGACATCGATGGTTTGTATAATATTTTATAATAAATGCGATAAAAGAATTTGTATTTTAAATATTAATTAATTTTTTGTAGTTTTTATATTTTTTATTTTATAATTATTCTAACAAATGCGTTAAAAGAATTTATGTTTATGTATATCTTAATCTCTTGTTCTTTGAAAATGATAAATTTTTCTGAATAATAGACTTTTCTTGAGAAAATACTATACAAATATTTTACAACTTTCATTTATAATAATCTTCTTAATTCTTTTTATGAATATTTCTAGGTGATATTGAATGAGAGACAAAAACTAAACTTCAAGTCTTTACAAAATCAAAATAGTAAAAATGCAAGTGACACAAGCAATCCTTATATTACTGCATCCTCTAAGAAATCCAAGAATAATCGGAAAGAGCCAGACGTGGAAAGTAGCATCAAGGGTTAGTTAAAAGATTAATTGATCAATTACAAAATTCTTATTTTCACAGAGATATACAGATTACTTTATATTTTATATTTTTATATTGTAGAAGAAAAGTTGAAACCAAACACAAGTCCTAGCAAAGGAAAACTAAGAGCTGTTGTGGATTTACAGATGATGAAGAAGGAACTGAGTCAATTAGAAGATCTTCCTAAAACACCTTTGGAAAAGGAACTATCTTCTAGTCGATTACAATACAAATTCTATGATATTCCCTGTGAAGAACTAGCACAGCAGCTCCTAGGTTTATGGATTAAACTTCTCTTATCTAAGATGTGCAATGTTAAGAATGTTTAATTTGTTAGAACAATATATTTGTGAAGCACATCATATTTTCTTAAAAATTATATTCTGTATATTGTATATAAGCTGTATGTTGAATAATTTTCTAACAGGGAAAGTGCTTGTGAGATATCTCGAGAATGGAACTATTCTCAAAGGCAGAATTGTAGAGACTGAGGCATATTTAGGCACGATTGACAAAGCATCACATACCTGTCAAAACAAGGTTACACCTCGTAATCTACCAATGTACATGCCACCAGGAACTATTTATGTTTACATGACATATGGCATGTACTACTGCTTCAATATCTCTAGTCAAGGTGAGCATTCTTAAATACTATCATAAGATTAATTACTACTTCAATGTACTACTACTTCAATAACATTAATTTTACCTATATATTAGTATATAAGTTTAAAATGAGCAACTCTGATTGTAATCAAGCAATTATAAATATGACAGTTATAATTGCTCTTTTTTATATTGGATATTATTATCAAATTGATTATTTTTTAATATCTTTTTTTACAAATTAGATTCGAAAAAGAACATTTATTTAAAGGATCATTTATAATTTTCGATGTGTTATCAATGTTATATTAGTACAATATCAAATAACATTTAGAGGGAAACGCGCATGTATTGATCAAAGCGATAGAACCGCTGGTGGGCTTCGAGTATATGGAATTGCTAAGAAACATGCGATGCAAGAATAACGGAAGTGAAAAACAAATCGCGAGACGTGTAACGCGCCTAAAGCAATACGAACTTTGTAATAATCCGTCCAAGATTTGCGACGCATTTGCAATCAATCAGGACGTTTTCGATCGGAAACTCGCTTATGCATGTAATAGCCTGTGGCTCGAGTGTCAACCCTTCGTAAGATCTCCTACCATAGTAGCTGTACCGTCCAAAGATTCTATGTGGATTGATAACTGTACGAAAACTACGCGATATTATGTCCTGGGAAGTGCTAGTGTTGGCGAAAAAAATTCCGAATACGAGACGCATGCTTATATCGCGATGAATTAGATTTTATAAATATTAAATACAAGAGTTTTTCTCGTAATATAGTATGCTTTAATATATTATGCTTTTATATTGTAATCTAATATAATTATGTAATATATGTAATGTTTTTTTTTTTTTTTTTTTTTTTTTTTTTGTTCTAAGTGTCTGTTACTAATCTAGAATATCATAGTTTTTTCAAATTTCTAATATTTTTAAATTAGCAAATTTTGAAACATAAAAATTTAAAAGGTCAGAATCAATTCTTACTTTAGTTAATGTTCAAGAAAATGCTGTGGATATTTGGAACTATAACCATATTATAGTAAACTATATGTGAAGTAATCTAATAAAATGTTACATGAAAATTGTAACAATTTTTAATGTTAAAAACTTGGAAAAAATCTCAGTCTCAAAGTTAAAACAATTTTACTCAATCTTCCCAAGTTTCTGGAAAAATAAATCAGACATTTTTATCACAAAATTCTTTGATGCCTCTTTAATCTTTATAGTGGAAAAAAACCCATTTTTATAAATTTACAATATCATGGAAATTAAAAAAGAATCAGATCCTCATATCCACAGCTTCCAAAAGACTTCACCTCTCACCTGTTAGTAAGGTCTTAGGTGACGGATGCGCGGTATTGGTGCGAGCCGTTGATCCTCTAGAGGGTACCACGTACATGGCTAACCAGCGTAATATGAAGAGAAAAATCGAACGGAATCTAAAGCCGCATGAATTGTGCAACGGCCCTTCGAAGTTCTGCATGGCATATCAGATTAACAAGGAACACAGTAGATATTCTCTTTGTACATGGAAAGGTCTGTGGATCGAAGATGATGGTGCAGCGGGGGATTTTAAGATCGTCAAATCCACCAGGATTGGAATCGACAGCTGTGGTTTAGAATGGGCCAGCAAACTTTTACGCTACTATGTTTACGGCAATAAATCTGTCAGCAAAAAAGATAAAAAGGCAGAGATGGAGATTTCTTAATATTTCGAGAGTAAATTTGAATTATTTTGTCTGATAAACATAAAGAAGTTCAATCTGCACTTCTTCATGTTTCCATAAAGAAGAAATCAATACATCAATTTTAATAGATATACATCATTTCTAAATCATTATAAAACGGGAAATCATATATATATATATATATATATATATATATATATATATATATATATATATATATATATATATATATAAATGAGATACTAACAATAATAATTTATATCACTGAAAATTACAAAACACAAATTTTGCCAGAAAAATTCTTTAATTCTTTTTATTCTTATTTCTTTTCTTATTTTTTTATTCTTAATTTTTTTCTAAATTTGATCAAATATGCTAGTGTTAGATAAAAAATTTATTAATATTTTGCTATAAAAGTAATAGTTGATAATTAAAGTTGATGTATTGACTTTCATTATAACCTGTTAATTATCATTAATTTATATAAAAGTACAAATATTTCTATAATAACATTGATATTAATATTGATACATTATGATACAATTATTTAAACTGCAAAATAATAATTGATATGTCAAAAAATTTGGAGAATACAATATTGTCATCAAAAGATATTAATATATTATAAAGTATGAATATTGATTAAGATTTTAATGTTATATGTATGAATTATTTAAATTTACTTCTAATTATGTAAATAAGCTATTTAATTGTAGTAATGAAGAGAATTGAAACAATCGAATTTATTACAATAATTTTAAGTCTGTCACAACAGTTAAGTATATTATTATAAAATAATAAAATCATTTATAGAATTTCAGTTATACAGTTATTCAGTTATACGATTTTCTCTATAAGATTTGGATCTTGTATTTTCTCTATTCTAACAATAATATTCTTTTAGTATGCATCCTCAGTTTAATATAACACATGTAGAATGAAAATATTGCACAATCTTTTCATCCAATGTAATCACATTGTAAAATAAATAAATAGAAAGAGCAGTACAAAAAAAGAGATTTCTAATTTAGAGGAAAATAATCGACTTGAAATGGAGAGAAATATAAAATTAAAAAAATCGATTATAAATTTAATATTTAAATTATAATCGTTATTCTTGCAAAAAGCTTGAAGATCGAATTCAATATATATCTTTTTCGTATACATGATATACGTAATTTTTTTTTACACATTTTAAGAAGTTGATTATGAAGGAAAATGCAATTTTGAAAATTATTCCAGAACTTGAAGTGTCAACTTTGAGATCATAATGACTAGTTTATATAGTCAAAATATGATTACACATAGGTCATAATTAATTTCTCTCTAAGAAAAAGGATATACAAAAAATTAAATATACTCTACCAAATTCTGCACAGAAGCTTCATCATGTCCACTCTTTCATCACGCGTTCGTAATCTCCCTCCTCGATGAATGGTTTGTCTATTGACCTATAAGAAATAACCAATCATGTTGAATTTCATTAAACTTTAAAATTATTTTCAGATATGAATAATTTCAAGATAATTATGATTAATTTTAAAATTTTAATATTTTTTACAATTAAATTTTAAAACAGTATTCAAAAACATACTCTATCATAAGTTCTCCACAGTAGAGACATTCCGAAGCAACCAATTCATCAATATCGGCTTTGATTTGATCTCTCGTAGACAAAGACACAGATGTCATCGATGTAGTGTCTTCAGGTCGATTTGAGATTGCAGTTAGCTGTCGCTGAAGATCCGCCAGCTTCGTTCTTTGATCCATAGATAACATCGGCGTTAACGCCGCTACTAAACAATCACTGTGAAATTTATGACCACAGGGAAACACGTAGAAAGGTCGCAATAGCAATTGTACTTCACATGTATTGCACGTGTCTCTTGCATGCACAAAGGTACATCTGAAACAAAGTATAACTTGATAATTAAATAAAAAACAAAAACAATGTCTAATACAATAATATTATAATAACAAACAATTATACTACTATTACTATTTTTATGTATAAAATTCATGTTTTGCAACACAAACAGATTTTAAATAATTCTAATATATTTTTTTATTGAATCTATTATTAAATAAGATATTAATAAATCAAATTTGTAAATAAAATAAATAATTTAAAAAAATTATTTGTCAGTACCTGGTTCTAAAGGCTTGAATATCCTTCCTGATTAGCTCTGCTGCCTTTGTGGCTTCTTGCATTTCCTCTTTAAGATCTTGAATATGCTGATTATATTCCTATTGCAAATATGAGAGAAAGAAAAAATTAATAAAAAGGTTCTTTTTTCACCTACTCTATAATCTTCATTTTCTTGCAATACATTATCTCTTTTTCTCAACCAAATTATTGAAAATTATCATTATATATATAAAAAGTCAAAAAAAAAGAAAACAGGAAACTAATTTGAAATCTGATCACATGTATTTAGGATTAGTTTTAGTTTGTACCTGTAGAGAATTGCAGATAGCTTCCTTGAAATGATCAATTGTGACGAAATCGGAGAAGAAAGGCAAAATATCTTCTATCCTAACTAAATCGCAGTGCTGCAAAAATTTCATTGCTTGCTGTATATCATCTTTTTCTCGTACCACATGCTCCGCTGTAACACAGCAAAATAATCTTTATGTAACAGTAATTTATAACATATATATATTTTATATAATCTTTCCCTCACAAGTTTCTAATATAATCTGATCTATTATATTCTAATAAATCTGTTATAAAGTTACAAGATTTTTCTTAATAAGATTAATATATTAACAAAGCTATATATACCTATTTTTAACCACAGTTTCTTTCTTAGTTCGTCATCATGATCAGAAGGCATGGCAGCGATCTGCTTAGCGATATCCACGCTGATCGTAAGCGCGAGATCTACAGCAGTAGCCCACAAGCCGAGTAATGCCGACAATTGTACACAGGCTTCCGTCAAGCCTACTTCCTGACACAATCGTAACGCGTAATGCACGTCGTAGTGTACCATACTGATATCCTGACCTGGAATTAACAAAAAAATAGATTGTCTCAAGGATTGTTTTAAATGATATTTATGATAAAAAATTCAGAAATAATTATAATTAATTTATATTTATATATAATTATAAAACAAATTAATTATTCAAAATGCATAGATTTACCTTGAGAACTTATATATCGCATGACTTCGTCTTGCTTATAACGAGCGTACAATGATAAGAGGAAATTGTGAATTGCTTGTTCCTGCGAGCCCTGTTTATACACGCAAAACTCCAAGTACTTAATAATTTCTTTTGCCTATGGAAAAAAAGGATAATCAACAACGCATTTGTGATATTAAAAAAGATAATATCAAAGATATCTTGCCACGACTTCAAAATTTGATTGATCACAATATCACATATCTGTTTTTTATATATTTATCTTATTATATTATTATAAATTGAATTCCTTGTGTGGTTTTTCAATTTTCCGTTTTAATAATCAATTATTTTTTTTATTAATTTAGTTATTATCATGTCAATAATTGTACGATGAAAGAGTAACAATTTGTTTCTCACATGCTTCTCATCACTGTTGCACGAGACTAAGGCTGGCAGAAGCTTCGCCGGCTTCAACGATGATCCTTGTGAGATTAAAACAGCTACCGTAGGCCGCGGCAATTCTTGTAACAATATCCCCGCGAATCGATAGAAGAGATCTTTATTGTTCTGACTTTTTAGTACCCCAAGTGCCTCCAGATAATTATTCTTGTACAGATGTTGTCGAATCACTTCCTCGTAATTGCAGTGCATTATCGTAAGACGTATCAGATTGTCCTTGTCGCCATGACTGGCCATCAAATCGTATATCGTACTACGATTTCTCTTTATGCATTCCTAAGCAGAGTGTAGTATAGTGTTAGTATAGTGTTAGTATAGTGTTAATTAAATTTATGATAAATTAATTTAGTAAGTGCTACCAAAGACATAAAATATGCAAAATTTAATAAGTATATTTCCTGGTTTTAAACTGTTCTTATTTTTTCTACATACCTCGACTTTGGGAATAGCGAGAAAGCTATCAAATTGTTTCTGCAACTCCATATACTGTGAATCATGAAGATAGGCTGTGTTGCTACTGCGCAAGGCTCCCATTTGGTTCATAAATAATTCCGTCACCCAAATTACAATCATTGTTATCTGTGTCTTGTCTTGCGTCTTTAAACCATCAAGTTTCTTGAAACAAATAATATCTACTTATTTAATATTTATTTATACAAGAAACAAAGTTGCTGGATTAAATATTATTAATTATTATTACATTTATTAAAATGTAATTCTTTTCAATTACCTTGCACAAAAATGTTTTCAATGCTTCAATTTGCCATTCCTGCAAAAACTTCAATGAGATCTCTTCAAAGGAAGAGTGAGTGTCAGCATATATTAAAGCACTCTTCTCATATCTGTAATATATTCAAATATCAAAATAAAAGTCGAATTGGATGAGATGTAGACTTACTGGATAATACGAAATAATACTTCAAAAAAAATATTATATTGACATACAACAACAAATATACAAACATAAATCCACTGAGAAAGAGAGACTCACTCTTTGTTTTTGAAAAGCATTTCCGCTTGTTTGATTAGTACTTGATCAATGTGTGCCGGATTATCTTTACAATATTGCTTGGCCAGTTCAAACTCACCCTTTTCAATGTACACCTAGATGAGATACATTATTACTGTCATTTCAAAGTTATTATTTTTATTTTCTCTTTACCTGCCAAACATTTCTATCTTCTTTCGTTACTTTGTATTTAAAGACGGCTTGCTCACTATAAGCCCAAATCGATTTCGTCGCAGGATCCTTAGTGATGCCAATTAATTTGCCGACCGCCTAAACATCATTAAATGATATGTATATATATATTTAATATTTCGCGGGAAGGTTTAACTATAACGCAAAATCTATAACATTAATTTTTATTATAATTAACTATAACTGTAATTGTAATTACTTTAAATATGATTTTTTAATTCTTTAATTCTTAATCTCTATCAGATATAATTGTAATATAAACATAATAGTTATAGAGAATTGAAAAATTTGCACACATACATCATTGTAAATGTCCTCAAATATCAACTCTTGATTCAGAAGCGATATACTCTTTACGCGATCTGGATATAACAGTAATGCGTGGAATTCCGTCAATACAAAAGACAATGGTAGCGAAGTGGTTTGCGAAACATTACTGCCCATAAGACTCGTTTCCGGGCACGTCAACATTTGCTGATTAATCAGTATATTCGTATCAGATTTCGGGTCTACCTAAAATCATCATACAATCTTCATTTAACTCGATGATTCTCAACGATTATGGATTCCATGATGTCGTTTAATATTTCTAAGCAATCCATACATAAAAAAATAGCATTAAAAATTCACAAATTTTTAATGTATTTTCTAACTAATAATTATTTATTATAAAAGAAAAAAATTATAGAACTAAAGAAAAGACAAAATTAAAAAAAAAATAGAGAGCGAAACATATTTAGATTTATAATTTTCAATTTTTTAAAAGTTTAAAGTTAAATTAGAAAAAATATAAATTTTTAAAAATTAAAAAAAGGAAGCATAATTATACCTGGGCATATAGGATACCAGTTTCTGTCAACCATCCAAACGATTTTGGTAAAACATCCAAAGATGGATAGTAAAATTGCATTTTCGAATATGACAAAGAATTTATTACTTCGCTAAAACTCTCTGAAACAAATATGTAATTTATTCATTCATTTGAAATGTATAATTATAACATAATGTCTTTAAAATTTCTTCGAACTATAAAAAGCTAAAATAATCTTTTTATTTCTTAGAATTCATATGAGTGTGAAATACATATTCATATGAGTATAAAATATTAGCATCATATATACATATATAGGCAACTTTTATCTGCCTTTCTTACCTTGTGCATTAAGATATTTATAAAACACTTGCTGCAAGAGAGGTTTCTCTTCGGGATTACTAATAGCACCAATGTATTGATAAATGCGCATAAGAGTGGTTACAATAATCACATATTTGTCCGAGTTAGGTATTTTATGAAATTCTATTCCAGTGATTGGAGGCTTACTATTTTTTCCTAAGTCAAATACCTAAAAAAAATCATCAAAAACATTTTACATGCTATTTCAAGTGAATAATTTAAATGTAAACACACAATTATTTAATATTTAATATGTAAACACACAACCGCATGTGTAAAATTAGAAAATATATCTTTATTAGTATCTTCTCATTTTAGCCATATCAGAACGCAGAACGAATAAATGTTTAAGTTTTTATCTTTTATAAAAAAATAGCCTTTATATTATTATCGTTTTTTTGTTAAAAAAAATTATGGATAATCATTTATATTCAAATATATTTTTTTGTATATAAATGATTATCGTAATTATATGTATTTGTATATAAAAATATAAAAGAGAAGAATATATGTAAAACTCACCAATCCTCCTACCTCTTTTGTTCCATAAAGAGGCAGGTAATTTGGAAGCTTTGTTAACAACAAATAGTGATAAAAAAAATATGATCAGGTAAATGGAATAATGTATATAAAAATTAATACCTGGCGCCAATATTGTTCCAAACTTGTATTAAATATCTTATCATTCTCCAATCCAATTTCTGTTTCAAAAATTAGACCCTTAGAAGTGCCCAGTAAAATTGGACCAGAAGTTGTTTTTGACGTTTTAGAAAAGTTCCAGCCCACAGCAGTGATTTCATGACCCTTGAACTTGCCAGCCTGTTTGAGTTTTGTTGCGTTCCTATGCAAGTAGTATATCTCTGCTGGTGGATTATCTCCATGTCTTGGCACTAGAGTTATCAGCAGGTGATAACCCGATGGATCCAGAAACAAGCCAGATATTTTCATGCTCAATGCATATTTGGATATGTCAATTTCTGAAAGCAAAATCACAATGTTTTCCATTTAATAATGAAGAGGAAATAATTAATGTCAAGTAAATAAAAAAATAAAATTTTTTTTAATATATCTATAAATTATTAAAATAATTATATTTATAAAAAAATTTTTTATTAAAAAATTACATATCATTATTGATTAAAAAAAAAGTAAATAGCATTGTCTCATTCACCTTCAATTTTGTCAGATTCTGATTGTTTTTTCATATCAATGCGCAACAAGATATTGTTAGCCATAGCAATCACAGATATGTTGTTACTAACAGCCAAATGAAGAATTTTATCAGATGGCAAAAAGTTAACTTTCTGCTTAGTGAATATTGGCCCATCATCCTGCAGCTTCATTTGTATAAAACCTGCAGTGCTCTGTAAAATATTACAATTATATATTGCGTTAATTAATGTTTAATGATACAAACTCACAATGTCCGGACGAATCGGTGGTGCAACCACTTGCTTGGAACGCTGAGAAGCCTGCTCATACTGATCAAACATTGATGTCATCTTGATTACTAAATAAACCTATATAAATAAAACACACATATATGTAATATTTTTAAATATTAAAAATACTTGGCCATTTAATATTTAAAAAACTGCTCAAAATTTAAAAGTATAAAAATAATATAAAATTTGATAACAATACGAAAACAAATATATTGACAGCAATTAAATTAACAATTATATATATTATAAATCTTGATATGCATAAAAAATAATTATGTATATATTTCACTTATTGAACCTAATTTCAAAAGTAAACGTAAGTATGCAGATATAAATTTATAATTTTATATTTTTAGAAAAATCCAACTTATTTCGCGTCATCATAAAAGTCTTCAAAAAGTACTAATATATTTATACACAAATGACATCAAAATTTGCGTCTATTCTGCTGTACGAATGCCAGCTATAATCAGCTGATTGGTAAACATAACCTTAAATTAATAGACAAAATGTATATAAGGTGTCAAGAAAGGTGTCAGATAAGGTGTCAAGAAATATTCAATTAAATATTGAAAAAAAAAACCTTCCCAATCACTCGTAAATTATGCTTCGACAATTTCTCCTTAAGAAAAAAGTTCCTTTATTAATGAAATTTACTTACTTTTAAAACACTGTATATTCGTTATTGTTTTTTTTAATTAGCTCAAATAATATGTAATTTTCACGCACTAAACACAATTTTATAACTATTGTTGCCATTCATAAGCTATTGCAAAATTTTGTTAATTTATCTCGACATTGCATGTTGAAAAATCTATACTGTCGATACGATATCACGTATATGAAAGTCACGTGATTTACTCATGTGTACGTAATGTTATAGTGCGCATTATTTCTGTGTTACACACAAAATTATTATTTGAAATCGTATACATAAATTGGATATCAGGATTTTATATTATATATATATATATATATATATATATATATATATAAATTTTGCAGATTTTTAAATTAAAAAATGTGTAAAAAATATGTATATATAAATTAATTACTGAAACTTACAAAATGTAATTATTAATCAAGTTTTTAGTAGTAGATAAAGTTGATTGGAATTTAAATAGATTCTCATTAGTCGAATATTGCCAAACAGAAAAAATCCTTTGTTTTTAATGTCCAAATTATTATTATATACAATATTATGAATTATTAAATATAATATATTGTTATATTATTGTTGTATATTGTTAAAATAAAGGATATTATTTTCTTTTTAGAGATTTTCTTTTAGGCATATTATTAATAAATTATATACAAGTTTATTATTCATACTATGCAATACATATTTTCACATTTCCTATTTACACTTCCCACTTCCCCTTATATATGGAGTGACAAAGTGATAATCTCTCTTTTACTTTGTATGTAAAAATTAAAATCTGACTCCTGAGAAATTGTAAGATTCATAAGCAAACTCCTCATTATGATATTCGTCACATTCCAAACCAATATAGTCAATTTCTAATTTGAAGTGACCATTAATATCATCTCCCAATGAAATACCAAAATTTGTGACTTCATGTAACATAATGACTGTCTGATCATCCTGCAGCCTGCCTTTACTTGTAAATACAAATTTAGAGAATGGTATTCTGACATATTGCCAATAAGGCCCACCTCTGGTATAGAGCACATAATGATATACATCGTTCCACATCAGGTCGAATATACCTCTGGTTGAAATATTCAACGTGTAACACCTGCCATCTCCTCTAATACGAAGAATAAGATGAGTATATGGCGTCCAATCATGACAAACATCGCGCTTGGGATTTTTGTTTGGGTATCGTGGTAATATTACAGAAACCAGCATTTTTTATTCTGCCGTCTTTAGGTAAACGAGTACTTAATGTGCCAGAAAATATGCCAGTACCAATAGGAGACAATTCTAATCTAGAAAGAAACAATGACAGATTACTGATTTGAAACACCAAGTAAACATATAAGATATAAATGTAGTTTATCTATTATTATTATATATCTATATATCTATTGTTATTGTATATATACCATTTGTACTCACTTAGCTGTTGAAAAGCCTTCTTCATAATCGCTATCACAGGTAATAACCCACTGATCCAATGATTTTGGATCCCTGTTAAATCGCCACGCAACATCCACTTCGTTTGACCTGTATATAAGAGTAGGATCCATTTTAAATTTTTCTCTCATTTCCTCTAACCAAATACCAAACTCTTCCTTGAATTGTCGACATCCTTCGCGTAATCTGCCTATGATACTTAAGTTTTGTTCCGGTGGTGGTCTATCGTACACTATTTTATAACCTGATTTTCGATCGCGTTCATAGAAAGATGAGAGATTCGTAGTTACATGTAATCTCCTCTTCCCGATCGCAAAGTCTGTCAATATTTTCCTAAATATTCGCATGGTCATATTTATTTTTCAGGCTCTTGTAGTTGCAGAGAAATCAAAAGTTTGAAATTATCGATTAGATAATCTTTCTGCTTTATTTGCGTTTCATTTGCCTTATGATATATTCTTCGGACACAAGGTAGGATGTATTTACACCTGAAATAAATATTCTTATTTATATATTTAATGAAGCTGTATTTAAGTCGAGTAAAGGCTATAGCACACACTTTCCATAAGACATGACAGTAAGGTTTCGACCAATCGCGTTGCTCAATTTGGCCGTCCGTAATCAAATTGAGCAACGTGTTGGTCGAAACCTTATTGTTATGTCTTATGGAAAGTGTGTGCCCTAGCCTTAAAAGAACCATTTAAGGTGCAATTTCATTGACGCTAGAAACCAGCGGCAAATTAAAATCACTAGACTTTCTCTAGATATGGCGTCAATAAAATAAAGTTCAAACAGTTTCAACTTTTTCAGTGTGTAAAGCGGCCTTTTCATTGACGCTACTTTTTAGTCAATGAAATTGCACTTTAACAGTTGGCAGCCCTACGAGATAGGCTGTGCAGCACTGCGCGTATATAAAATAAATTTGAAATCGCTTCTAGCCTAACCATCTTCACGCGATCGACTTTATTTGAATTGCACGGCATCGCATCGAATTATGATGCGGCGCCGATTTGTTCGAACGTAATTCGGGACATCGCGATGCTGTATAAGCGTCGAATGAGCACGAATTGTCACGCAAATATGATAAATCACATCTACTCACCGTTCACCGGCTGTTCCACAGGCCGCTCCACTCGCTCGCTTCGGGACGTCCCATTCCGATCTTGATGCACACAAATTCACACGATATCATCAACGCGAACGCGCGACACTTTATTCGGCACTCCCGATATTCGCTCGCATCCGATAATCATCATCAAGGGCGCAAATAACGCGACGCGACTTCGCTCCATCTTCGCGATGACGCCATCACTGAATATCGTCAAAAATCGCTGTCGCGCGTTTCCATCGACACACTATAAAAGTCGCGCGATCATCCTTCGACACTTTCGACGCTCGTTCACTCGCGATATTCGTTTAAAAACGGTTAAAAGACGCGAAAAATGCGGACGTACGACGATCCGTGTAACTGCGTATGACTCCGATTCACGTATGACGCGTATGACGTAGCTGTGACGTAGCAGTCACGCGCCAACATGGCGGCCGAACCAGTGCGCACTGGTTCGGCCGCCATGTTGGCGCGTGTCGCTACGTCATACGCGTCATACGTGAATCGGAGTCATACGCAGTTACACGGATCGTCGTACGTCCGAATTTTTCGCGTCTTTTAACCGTTTTTAAACGAATATCGCGAGTGGAAGAGCATCGAAAGTGTCCAAGGATGATCGCGCGACTTTCATAATATGTCGGTGAAAGTGCGCGACAGCTATTTTTCACAGTTCAATGATAGCGCGATCGCGAAGATGGAGCGAAGTCGCGTCGCGTTATTTGCGCCCTTGATGATGATTATCGGATGCGAGCGAATATCGGGAGTGCCGAATAAAGTGTCGCGCATTCGCGTTGATGATATCGTGTGAGTTTGTGTGCATCAAGATCGGAATGGGACGTCCCGAGGCGAGCGAGTGGAGCAGCCTGCGGAACAGCCGGTGAACGGTGAGTAGATGTGATTTATCATATTTGCGTGACAATTCGTGCTCATTCGACGCTTATACAGCATCGCGATGTCCCGAATTACGTTCGAACAAATCGGCGCCGCATCATAATTCGATGCGATGCCGTGCAATTCAAATAAAGTCGATCGCGTGAAGATGGTTAGGCTAGAAGCGATTTCAAATTTATTTTATATACGCGCAGTGCTGCACAGCCTATCTCGTAGGGCTGCCAACTGTTAAGGTGCAATTTCATTGACGCTAAAAAGTAGCGTCAATGAAAAGGCCGCTTTACCTATGTAACCTATCTTGTGTTTAAAGCGCCTCTACGTCGATAAAACGTGGACATTGAACTATGTAGCCAAAGTGTCGATAACACGAATGCTTGATAATGCATCAGAAATAAATTGGAGCTGGAAGTATATTATATGTACTTTTTTTATATCTAAAAAAAGTTTTCTTTATATATATATATTATTTTTTATTATTTACTTTTTATAATTTTCTTTTTATATTAAAAAAAAGAAACATAGAAATGTTGAAAAATAATCACCTTATATAATCTATATAAAACTACCCAGAATTTGTAGAAAAAATTTCAGTAGTATTTTTCCTTTTTAAAAATAAGAACATTATTTTAATCTTTGTACAGACTATAGCAGATATAATATAAAAGGGTAATATGCATCGTGTAATGAAAACAATTTCTTACATACATAATTTACAACATTGTATATATCAATAATGTACAGTCTAGTTTCAAGGAGTATTCTTCTTCCTCCTTCTCAACAATTTATATGTGTCTTTTGACAACAGATAACTGATACCTCCTGCAACAGTCGTGAACGCTGTTATGTAACAGAGGTATTGTAAGATTGGATGATCTACAAAATGGTAAATAGGAGCAGCCAATGTTCCAGCAACCAAAGACAATTGCACCCCGGTATTTAGCTTGCTTGCCAAGGTTGGAGCTAATTGTACAGTAGCATGTGTGGGATCAAAATACCTTGCTAAGGTTTTCTGAAATCATATACATCAAATTTAATGTATCAAGGTATAAATACATGATTAATAAATTATAATTGAATTAATAGAAGTGTACATACTGGTGGAGGCAGGGAACGATATCTAATGTAAGATGCAGCAGTCACTAATGCAATATCACGTGTGACAACAAGACAAGTAAGTGGAACTGGTATCAAACCGACCCATGCTAAAGACAGAAATAGTGTCCCTACAAGCAGCTTATCCGCCACTGGATCCAAGAAGCTTCCAAGTTTAGAAGCTTGTGATGTCCAAGTACGAGCAATCCATCCATCTGCCAAATCACTGACTCCTGCAAATGCAAGCAGCCATAGCGCTATCTGTGCCATGGCAGAAAGTTATTTTAAATATAATACATGATATATAGAAAATATTTATAAATGCAACATGCAATATTTGTCTTCATGTATAACTTTATCAAAATATTGAGTCGCACCTGATAATCTTGCGATAAAATCAAATAACTTAAAAATGGCGATGTCACTATACGACCCATGCAAAGTAGATTGGGAATCGTCCAGATATTTTCCTTTTCAATAATTTCTTCTACTTTCCTCCTCGTATGTTTAATATCCTGCAATATACGTGTTCGCCATGTTTTTCTTCGAATTGCTCGCTCCTTTGCGATACAATGTCTATAACGATTTTCACTTTCTATGACACAGAGTCTGCCTTGGCACATCAGATACTGCTTTAAACATTGCTCTATCAAACCTTTGTTCCAAACTGCAGACCTTTGTTTAAATCGTAGAACAGTGAAGTAGTTCATAATTATACTTGCTTCTATTTGACAAGTAGAATAAAAACAAGAATTATTAAATGTTTTCTCACGTTTAAGAAACATAATTTAATATAAAAATATTTCCCAAGAGAATTGACAGAAGGTAAACTGTTTTCGTGACATTTCAAGTCAGTCATCTCTTTCAGCAAAAATATCAAAGTCTTAATAAATTTTTAGCTCCTCGAAGATAAAAATTTCCAATTTTATTTTAAAAGACTCGATAGAACGGATTCGAGGTTAAATTATATTAAAACATCGAATTTTGGAATTTTGTAAAAAACGACGACATAACCTCAACATTTCCAGAAAAATATTCACTGTGTCTACGAATAAAGCATCGCGCTTAAATAATAAATAAAAATCCTTAAACGTGGATCATTTCACATACGTACATACAGGAATCCGCCTCTCGTATGATCGCGACGTAAGCGGCCTTTTAGGTTAGTTTCGAGAAAGCAACAAACGTATGCACGAAGTTCACCGTTCGCACGTCACAACTCCATGTTCTCCAAACATGAATGAACAGCCGCAACTGCGTGGGAAGTATCTCTCTAGAAAAAGCGTCGATACAGGCGATATTTAACATTCTCGCCTCCGAGCAAGAATCATCATCGAGGATAAAAATCAAGCGGGCGATCTCGTTTCACGGTCGATTCGCGTCAAACGGGGCCAAGGAGACATCTTCGAGAGACGGAACGGACAACATTGCGCGATTTTCGCGGTTCCGGCTTCGAAAAGTGAGAAACGAGACTCCCCCCCTTCCGTCCTCGCCCCGCCGCTATCCCCACCCTATTGCCCGCTCGTCGCTCGCGCGCGGTGACGTAACCGCGCCTGAGCAAAATGGCCGCGTCGCGCAGGCGCGAAGGACGGGTCTCGGTGCGGTAGGCGCGCGTCGCGTCGCGTCGGTCCTCGGAGCAACAGAGTGCCGTGTGTACACCCCCGCCCACGTATTATTGTGCTGGCTGGCCGACGAAGCCGAGCTAGCCACGTTTCTGTCACGGGAGGACGCCCGGCGACAGGTCCGCCGAGGCGAATGATGCGTCCCGTTATTCCGCGAGAGGCAACCCCGGCAATCGCGCCACCGAGCCACCGAATGTCAAGCGAGTTTTGATGCGACACCGCGGTCGAGCATGATTTGCTATCCATGCGGGTAAGTCCACTATGTCCGGTCGGACTGGAGTCACCCCGGGGACGATTAGGGCGATCGCGAGATAACCCGACGTGCTCGTGGAGCTTCCCCTCGAGACGAGGTTGACGTTGTCGGGAAGCCGCGATCCGCGAGTTGAAAATCGAGAAAATTCCACGTTCCTTTACCTTCCCCTATCCTTCATCGGAGTCTATTTGAAAAGCAGACGTCGATCGGGGATCGGTATTAATAACCGCGAGCGAGATCCTTGGGCATTGATTTTCGAGATGCGGGAAAAATCGGGAGACGGAGGATCTTCCGAAGGATCGAGAATCCTCGCGATCCGCAATGCGCAAGCGGATTCTCAAATTTTTGCGAGGAATCATGTACCCTCGAGGGTGCAATTGTCGGGGATTCCTCGAGTTTCTGGAAATTAATATCGAGGTAGGAGCAAACAAAATATCGCGCGCGTTCGAACAAAAAAATTCAATTCATCGCCTCGTCTACGAGGATTCCGCGATTTCAGGGGAGAAATGCTTCTCTCTCTCTCTCTCTCTCTTTTTTTTTTATTTTTTATCGTCAGGCGAAATCGACTGCGTTAAATGTGCGTGCGACGCTGCGCAATTTAACGTCGTAGATGGTTTGTGTCAACTGGAGCGATAATAAATTATTCCAGGTCATTACGGCGTAATATGTCGCCGTCGCGTTAAACGCGCTCGATATGACAGCCGATACGATGTCACCGGTGCCTCCTGACGTAGCGTCGGGATTAAAATTCGAAAATTTACGAAAACAAAAAAAATGTATATATACGATAAAGAAACATACCTTTCGACTTTTAGGACAAACTTTCCAGGAGAATCCTGCACAAAGTAAATTTATTTTGTGGACTTACGAGGAATTTGATCTCTCTCTTTCTCTGTTGCACTCTCTTCTATTTATTTTTCATTATTATATACACAGAATATAATCTTGAATTTTAATATACAGGTGTCAGGGTAATCTATCTTCCCAAAAAAGTTTTTGTGTTTACCTCGAGAGCTTTTCAAAACACTTTAATAAAATATTTTTTCATCGAGTTATAAGGCTTGAAATAATCTCTTAATTTTACATAAACCATAAAATATCTAATAAAATATTTACTTTTCGATTATCTTATTTTAATACTTTTATGTACAAAATAATGAGAGGAATCAATTGATGTAAAGAAAATACATAATTGTTTCGAAAAAAATTTGTAATTGTTAATTGCAAATTACATATTTTTTTCTTCGAAACAATTATGTGTTTTCTTTACACCGATTGATTCTTCTCATTATTTTGTACATAAAAGTATTAAGATAAGATAATCGAAAAATGAATATTTTATTTGGTTTATGTAAAATTAAGAGATTATTTCAAGCCTTATAACTCAAAAAATAGTCCATGAAAAAATATTTTACTCGAGGTAAGCTATAAAGGCTTTTTTTGAGAAGAGATGGCCCTGACACTCTGTCTATAAGAGAAGAGCTCTTTAGAAGAACAACATCAATTTTATAATAATCAAAAATATAAAATTTTTTTTTAAATTAAAAATATTTGAATTTCAAAAAGATTTCATACTTTCGATTATTATTATGATTTAATTATATACAAATGATATAATTAAAAGTACTTTGGATGAATATATTAGGGGGAAAAGAGAGGAATGCAGAAGTCCTCTCTGTTGCATAAATTACAATAAATCACAATAAATTATAATAAATATAAGGGGGATTTCTCGGGATTCTTAAGAAAAATTGAACAGAAATAAAAAAAAAAATATTCCAGTACCTGTGGAAGCGACTGCAGTTCTGGGTGCCGTTGCCGGTTTCGTGGTATTACTGCTGGCCCTCTTCCTCTACCTGTCGCGAAAGTGGTGCTTCACGCCGCCCTCCTCCACGGCGCTCTTCGGCGGAGTCTGTGTGCCCCTCTGTGAGTCCACCAACAGCTCCACATCTCAAATCTCGAAAAACATAGGTATATGATTTATATCGACTTTCGTTCCGGTCCCCTTTTTGCGAATCTTCAGTTTCGAGCTTCGAAGCTCGAGTAATTTTTCGAATTTGTTTTCGAATTTCACGTCTCTTCGAACTTGCGATAACGCGAGAGTTAATTTCAAATTTGTTAAATAAATTTTAACATCGAAAAACGGATGAATCTAGAGCCTCTATTGCACCATGAATGATTGCTAAATTTCTGGACTGCGAAATATTCGCTCTTTGCAGCGAATGCGTAAGAAATAATCTTTAATAATCATTATATTTGCTTGCCAGGGAAGACATTCTCCTATTCGGATCCTGAAACAAGCTCCGATTCAGAAGAGGACGCTCTTCGACGATTAAATTCGCATTCACATCCTCCGCCGGATACGTTAACTATCCAAGCGGAGGATGGACCAACAACAACCATCGTAGGTCAGTAATAAAGAGAATATAGAATTTTAAGAATAAACAATAATGTACATATGTCAATAAAACCAAACACCAATACACATATAAATGAAAAAAATTAAGAATTGCTTGATGGAATAAATATAATTATGCTAAATATTTATAGAAAACATGACATTTTTTCAATTTTGATAATATATAAAAATATATATTATTCACTCATGCACACTTTTTAAATTCTTGAATAATATTTCTCAAAATTATGTTTTTTAATCATCTTATTACTTCATCCACATCTTCAATTGCAGATTTAAAATTTATGTGTTGGAAAATAATGATACTCTAAAAAAATGTAATTCTTTTTATTAACAATAATCTTCACTTTTATAGATGCTGGGACCACTTCCAGTAGCTGCACTGAGGAACACTCCCCAACGGATCAGCAGCAGGTGATTTTTTGATTTTGTAGAAAAATTTTAAAACATTTGGAAGAAAATTGTAATATTTTGTCTCGTTTTTTTTTTCATGTTTTCAGTGCGTAGTAGAAGTTGGGGCATCTAATATTATACTCGACAATAGAGAGCAGGAGATAGAGGTCGAGCAAAATGAATCGACGACCAATGATGTCATCACGACGATGGGTACGATGGCTACCGAGGAAGTTGGTAGTCTCGAGGTCGCTTTCTTATACGATGCTCCAATGCGCGAGATGACAGTTTGTATAATTATTGCATAATATTTATAATTATTTATTTCTATTTATTTTAATTATTTCAATTTATTAATTATTTTTCTTGTATCTATTAAACATTTTTCTTGTATCTTTTTAGAAACGAACGTAAATCTTAAATTGTATCTTGTTAATATTAGTTGATTATAATAACATAACTTGTTTATATATTCCTAAAAAAAATTGAACTGAAATAAAAATGTCAATCAGTAGTAATTTTTGTTTTAAAAACGTTTGGAATTCTTTTTCATTATAATAGATATTGTACAAAAATTAAGGTATATTATTTTAATAGGTTCACGTGTTACAAGGACGAAATTATCCTCCCGGCATCGGCGGCAGTCAAGTACGATTAGTCTTGCTGCCATCAAAAAAGCAAAGACGCAAGACTCGAGTTCGGCAAGGGACATCGCCGCAATACATGGAGAGCTTTTTACTTCCTCGTGTAAATCCAGAGGACGTAAACGCAATGGGAGTACGGCTAAGGGTATATCTCTGGGGTGGCAGGATGATGCGTCGGGAGAGATTGTTGGGCGAAGCCAGAGTATCCTTTGATCAGATTAATCTTCAACTGGAAACGACTCTCTGGTTGACTCTTCAACCACCGCTTTCTTCTTCGGTAAGTCTCTCATTCTAAAGTCTCTTCTAATTTATAATATAAGTCAAATTCACGCCAAAAGTATATATATTTGAGATAGCCTTTTGTTTATTACTTTACGGGATTAAATTGTTTAATTTTCTTACATTAAATATTATCTAACAAATTAATTCGAGATCGAATAAGAAATTCATTGTTATATTCCTAGGCGCAGGATTGGGGAACTACCAGCAGTCTAACTCGTAGCGATTCCACGGGATCCCAACAATCGGTTCAGTCGTACGCCTCTACAGCTATACCACCTTATGGCAGTAGTATGAAAGGTGGCAGCGTCGCCGAAATTCTAATCGGTTTGGCGTATAATGGCACGACGGGCCGCTTATCGGTGGAAATAATCAAGGGCTCCCATTTCCGCGGCGGAGGTGGAAACGATACAAAACCACCCGACACTTATGTAAAATTGGCTCTTGTTGACAGCAACAACCACGAGATGGGCCGGTCGAAGACTGGTCTAAAACGCGCCCAACCGAATCCTCTCTATAAGGAAACTTTTATATTTCAGGTATTTTGAATGAAAATTATCTGACTTTTAAAAATTTTGCATTTAAATCCGATTATATAATTAAAATATGATATATGGAATTTTTTTCATGACTGTGTGAAGGTCGCGTTGTTTCAATTGGGGGACGTGACGCTCTTTCTATCAGTGTACAATCGTCGGCGGAGCGGAATGGGTAGAAAGGGACGAGAGATGATCGGCTGGCTTTCTCTAGGTCTGAACAGCTCCGGATCTGAGGAGCTGCAGCATTGGAATGATATGCGGACGGCAAGGCAACCGACGCAAGTACAACGCTGGCACTCGCTGTTGCGTCCTTGAGGCATTCTCGAGTGAGTGCCTCCTTTTGGATTTATTCTCGACGCAGCCATTCGAGCGCGAAACCGATTTCACCGGTATTTGCCGCGAAGAGAATGGGAAACAGATGCGTATTTCTGAGAAGGAATAATTGCTCGTGGCTTATCTCGAAAGAGATTTCGGCTCTTTTTTCTTATCTCACGGAGACACACACTGTGTACTGCCTGGTTGAATAACGGAAGTCAATATTCCAGTCGGTCTGTCAATCATAAGTCAGAGCCCAAACAACGCAACTGTCCAAATGACATCGTAAAGATGTTCCAATGTTGTATGTCTGTTAAATAAAATTCTTCGGACATCTATCAGATAAATACATAAATATCTAAATGGCGTCTTAAATAACACGTACAAAAGATGCTTTAATTGTCACTAAAATTTTAGACATCTTTTAAAAGTTGTTTGGGCTTTTGTTTTGTTCGGGATGCTGTTTGGAATACTGTAAACTCTGAGTTACAAACTCTTGTCTAAATGTACCAAGTACATTTCCTTTTTGATACGCTGATGGGAGCAGTGCGATTAATCTTTAATGTCGAGGATTCCGGACGATCACGTGATATTATCGACACCCCGGCCCTCTCATCGTGCCTGTCCTGTCACGTGGTATGACGCTCTCCGACTCGACATGTGCCTGAGCCAATCTGGATCGTTTATTTTTTACTTTGTGCCTTTCACCCTCTTTAGGCCGCGTGCCACGCTAAATGGAGAATCGTCGTAAGATGTAAGTGAAATTTGAGCGGCGTCATTTGGAAAATACACAAATAGTTACATACATCTTTTGACTTTAGTATTGTATTGTAAGATACAGGATGGTCATGCAACACGAAAAAAACTGTCTAATAAGTTCGAAAATATTCGAAAAGCGAGGAAAATTCTCGTGGATTTTGAGAAAAAACGAGATTTTCTTAATAAATATTTCAGGAGAAGCAAGAAGCTCCTATAATTTTATAAAATAAAAAATTGAAATCAGAGCCTAAAAAAAGTTACACAAGTCTTTAGAGATTTTAGAGATAGAAAATTAGTATTTCCGGTAACTTACATCAAATTTTTCTGATTTAATAAATTTAAGAATTTAAAAATTCGATGAATTTATAAAACGTATGATTTGTGTGTCCATCCTGAAATTGGGTAATATCGACACATGAATTATTATTATATGGTCATATCTATTCTTTTTAAAATAATGAAGCTGAGAGACACATCTTGATTCCTTGCTTTTTTCTCAAGCAATATATTTACTCTAGCAAATATTTTAATAAATTAATATTGATCATAAGTTTTTGACAGTTTTGAATATCATTCTTTTCTTAGAACTTGTTGATTAGTATTTTAATTTTTAACATTAAAATATATCAAGTTTCTTTCTCTCCTTGTTTCTTTTCTTAAATAAAAACTTCAGTTAAAATATATCTCAAAATAAAATTATCGCATCATAGAACGAATTTTTAAGAATTATTAATTATTTCTCATGTATAAGTTCACACAATCAAGTTTAAAATATTGCTAAAAAAAGTAACTCTCTTTTGTTTTGTCAAAAAATACATTTTCTCTCTTTCCGTTTATATTCTTTCTATAATATTCAATGAATATGTTGCTCATGATACCATATATGTTTCAGTAACATTGTTGTTGTTTGTAAAATAATAGATTACTATATTAGTGTGTATCAGTGTGTCGATATTACCCGTCTTACAGTATGTAATTATATGTATATACATACATTCGACAAATATTCGATTTGCTTGTGTTTGTTCATATAAATCGATATGACAAATACTGAGCCCGTGTTCTCGTCGTGCATTTAACATTGATTATTAACTATTAGATTTCTATCTAATATCGATAGAAAGAAGATTCAGTCTTACTACCGTAACTTAAACATACCTGAATGAAACATAGACGCTAAATGAATATATTTAACTCTAAAGGGAACGAGATCAGTATCCAGTGCCAAGATTTGTCACAAAAATAACGACAAGCTAATTCATAAAAAGGACATTGTTATAAACTATAAACTAATTTATTGTTGCGTAATAAATTAATAATATCTAACAATAATATTAAACTATCTCGAAATTTTGAAAGAATTTATTATTTATTATTTATTATTTATTTAAAATTTATTTAAAACTGTACTTATATGCAGTTATGTTTATTTTCACGCAATTTATATCAACTTCCAAATTAATTTAATTCAATTTTTTAACTGTAAAATGTTATGTTACGTTTCATTCGGGTATGCCTGGAAAAAAGAAAAAAAATTAGCGAATGGATTAGAGCGGCAGATTATATAGCAGTAAGATGAGATTAAGAACACGGGCATCTCTCGAGATGGTTCGAGAATGGATTGATACACGCGCGGACGTCAATTGGCGCCGACGTGACGATGATTTAGTGAGATTTCGAAGTGGGATAAAAAGCGGAACGAGCAAATCCACAATTTAACGACGCACAATGACTCGCAAACGCAGATGTGTTTGTAGAGTCGATATAATATAAATGAAATAGAAACATAAATACGAGGTCATGCATACACGTTAGACATGTTGTAGACACGTGGTATAATCTATGCATTATTAGAATTTTTGAGCAAGGGGGTTTCCTCATCATACCAAAGTTATATTAGATTACATGCAGAAGAGTAGAAAAACTACAATTTGAAGAGGAATTTTTCACATTAGATATGAAGATAATTTGATATAAAGAAAGATACACGATACAAAAATAATCTTTTTATAAAACAAATTTTATAGATTTCAAATTCTTTGTCGAATTATCTTTCTAAGAAATTTGATTGAACTTTGTTTTTATATACATATTTGTAATCTTCATCAAATATTTTAATAATTAGGTATTAAAGTTGTTTTTTTTTATTAAAATTTACTTTTTTTGAATCATTTATTATCTACTTGCGTTTATAGAGCTTAATTTATTAAAAGAATCATTTCTTTAACATGATATTTGACAGTATATTTATAGTATGATTTAATTCCATCCTAATATGTTATAAAAATTATAAATTTAATTAATTCTTTATTTCTCCTATTGAAAACTGCATGGATTCTTTTATCTGATAGTACAATTCTTAGATTGTATAATTTAATATTAACAATTTAATATTAACAAAAGTGCATACATAAACATATACATACATATGCACACATTGAAGACATGTGAAAGGTGGATTTAGACCAAACAGTTGTTAGAGGATCCCCCTCCAGATCAGCGGGTAAAACCGGTCACTAATTATAACAGACAAACAAATGCTGTGAATCATTTATTGCTTGATTTTTTCAAGCCTTTAGTGATAAAAATTTTCATCAAAGTTATATATATTAATCCATGCTCGAACTATTCTGTCTTATTTACGTTTTAGCAGTAAAATGATTACTAGGGCTCAGAAGTCTCCCTTACATCAAGAGAATTTTCTTATCGCGCAGCGCAAATTGCATTTATACTTGTTGCGAATAATTATTACAAATGAGAATTTAGAACATCAATATAAGCATACAAAGTTCTAGATTCAGCGAATCGTCTTTTATTTATAAATCTTTTTTGTAGCTTAAACTAAACTTTTTTCTTCTAAGAAGACATATAAATGTTTTTTGCACTTTCGATCACCATTGGATATGTTATAAAGAGAATGAAAAAATTATAAGAAATATTTATACTCTTATAATTGTTCAGTGTTGTACTTATTATTAATTATTTACAAGATATATGAATATATTTATTTATTTATGTTGTACTTATTATTAATTATTTACAAGATATATGAATTTTATAGCTGTGAGCTAATTAGAATTAAAACAAATTTTAAAACACATTTAGAATATAAATGTGATAAGATTTGCATTTTTTAGCTGTATTATGTATGTTAATTGATATTAATATTGTACTTCTGGGTCCTAGTGATTATCATACATATTAATGCACAGTCTGTTTATAAACAGCACGATGCTGAAGAAAGAAAAGAAATGTTTTAATATGTAAATTAATTATAATATTAATATATATCTCGATTATAAGATTATTACTAAACATTTGTTTTACACAAGACACAAACTAGACTTGAGAAAAATCCAAGATTTCCAGTCATATTATATGAGTAATATATGTTGAATTAGTGAGTAGTTTTTCAGGGTAACTTTTAGGCCTTTTAACTCCTTGAATCTGATGTAATGTAATTGTGATAACGTTAATCTTACAACAGTTTTCTAGTGTTTTGCGTCGATAATATTGGATTTGTAGGGAGTGATCGGACCACTATATTACATTTTAATTTTAGAACATCGCACTGAGATTATTACAATCTCAAACTGGAGATCTTTAGAGAATGTGATGAAATTTTCACGATTTTTTCCTTTTAGAAAAAAAGTAACGTTTGCATTTAACACTCCTATTTTTCATTAATCGCTTGCAGTAATAAGGCGATAAAAAAAGCCGAGATCTCAAGCTCCAGCATGTCGATTGCTTTGTTACATTCCAGAGGTACATTTGTCAGAATAAGAGTGTACGACGATTTCTAGATTAGGAAATAACGATTAATATCGTTGTCATTTGAATAATTATATTTTGTCAATTTTTCAAAATTGCGAAATATAAGGCAAAATGATAAAAAAAGATACCAGATCGCGAAGATTATAAACAGACTATAACGTTGAATTTTGATCTATATTTTATCTACAGCACCCGTTTCTCAATAAACATTAATTCAAGTTTGAATGTCTACTGCACAAACTAATTATCTTAATCAATGTTATTACGCGTACTTATAAATTAACAATAATTACATCTCCATCGCGTTTTATAAAAATGTATTCTAATATATAATTAAATCAATAAACTTACGAATAGTTATTATCGCAATCAGGACTTTTTTCACAACACATTTCAGGTCAAACTTTCGTCCAGTCCATATTTCTCCAATAACTCTTTCTTTTTTCTAATCAATAGAGCTTCCTGAATATCTTGCTGAGAAGGAATTGATTTTTGCGATGTTGTTTCAACATTGGCTTCTGGTTCCTTTTCACGGGATATCCATTCCTTGATGTATTTTTCTCTCGCTTCTTGTTCGGCTTTTTGTTCCAGTGGTACTAGAATACCATCATCATCATCCATGTAACCATAATAATCTGCATCAATGTCCTTCATTAATTCTGCGCGAGTTTTTCGAGGGGGTGGTGGTGGTTCTTGCTCAAATAATTCCCTAACACCTGGTAGTTCTTTGGCAGCTCCAAAGTATTTATATCCTCGATTACCAGGAACCTGTTATTTAAACAAGATATATTATTGTTTTATCATATATGTAATATAAAAAAACAAACATATATAATTCATCTAGCATAATTATCCTGATATAAAATGATTCAATTGTATTGTTTGTAATATTAACATAAATATTTCATAATTCTTTAACATTATCTTTAATACTGCAAAGATACTGTCTATAATTTTACCTCGCGTCCTTCATGATCTAACATGCGAGGCCCTACTCTAGAATAATCAGGTCCACCAAGCTCTTTTATTTGTGCTTCCCAATGTCGTTTTTCTCTAAGCAATTTGTTGATCTCATCATTTAAATCACGAATGCGAAATTCACCAAGCCCAGCATTTTGAATTTGCGCAACTTTCTTTGCAATTTCCCGAATTATTTGCATTCTCCATTTTTCTGCCTTACGTAAATCTCTGCATTCTGATGCTAGGTATGGCCTACGCTCCTGTTCTTTCTTTGCACCTTCGTTATTTTGAGCTGCTCTCCAACGAGCAAGTGTTGTCCTAACAAAATATGATTAATGTTAATATTTATTTTTTTTATTAGATTTATTAATTACCAATGTTAGTACTTATAATTAGCAAAATTAATATTATGATTAGCAAAGAAATATTAATTGTCAATTGGATTAAATTTATAAAGATGTACTCACATAGCCTTCTCTGCGTTTCGTGCCTGAAAAAATAAAATTTGTTTATTAAACGAAGTATATGTGGTATATTAATATTTAATAAGTATGTGATTATATTTTATACATACCATTTTTAACTGTTACTAATTATATTAGTACACACTACTTTCAATTGTTGTGTTGTTTTTTATAATTCTGTCATTTTTATAGGTTAAGTTAGGCACTTTGCGGTGTATCGTCTTCTCTTCAAAATGCGGTGCGTTCGCAAATTTTATTCGTGAAGTAACGTAGCATTTAACTAACCAATTGGAGAGCAGAAGTTTCTTTGTCTTGATTGGTCGATTAGATGTCGCGATAGGATTTTGAATGCTCCCATGGCAAGATTTCTTTATCCTGATTGGTCAATCGTTACATTAAAATAAAATTTAAAGAAAGAAAAAATTTAAATGATTTTTAGAAAATCCTTTGCGAGCGAATTAAGATACATCTTATATCAAGTATTTTGATATTTTATTGATGATATGTTTGTCGAACATGTACAAAAAACCAATATCGGCAATATGTTGCGTATGATGTATTATGTTTATTACTTTTATTTTTATGGTTCTTTTATATCATTCATATATAAAAATATAAATTTATTGACAAAATATTAAATATATTATAATATTATTGACAAAATATATATTTTTATGTATCATATTGATAGATGAAAAAATTGTTTATGAGAAATCTATACAGAGGGGAAAATAAAAAGAAGGATATATTCGATGTCAATTTTCGACAATTTCTTTCACTTTATAACGAGATTGATTTTATTATAATTAGAAACATATAAATTTTAATTTACTAACACGACATACATAATACAAGAAAAAAAAGGAGAACAAGAAGAAAATGAAAAAGCATTTGTTTATTGTTAGGTCATGTATAAAATTCATATATTCAAGGTAAAAGATTTTATTTGTAAATACATAACATAATATCTGTTGAAATATTGGAAATTAATTTCAAGGAGTGAGCCGTTTGGGGTCACGAGGGAACATAGACACCTTACGAATATTGTCCAAGCCGAGGTATAGCATCACAACGCGTTCCATGCCTATACCGCCGCCAGCATGCGGCGGGCAGCCGTATCTAAAAGCGTCGATATACGACTTGATTTTCTCGATATCTGAAACCAAGAATTTGATTAATAATCAAATAATTTCTGACTGAAAAATAACAAAAAATGGATGATGGAAAATTCTGCATTTAAGTGGCATAATTATATATACAGCAGAAAGTCAGTTTATTAATAATATATTGAATATAAAATATGAGGAAACAAATGAAAGGAATAAGGCTAATAAGAGCTGAATACAATAAATGCACTAATATTGTGTAAAAATTGTCTTTAACAATAATAATGTTTCGTTCCTTCATGTTATAATTACCCTAATGTATTATTCATTTATATATTAAAGATGGTTCAAAGAAAGGATAGTCCAAAAAAAGAATCAAAACGTTCATTATTATTAAAGAGACTGTTTACACAATATAAGTATTTTATTTATTGCAATCGACTCTTATTCTTTCCAGACTTTTAATATTCAATATATATCATCAGAATCTTTTTTTTTACTTGTAAACGTTTATTCACACAATAATTGCATTTTGGAAAAATTCAGATTCTATATAGATTTTAAGAATTCCTTGGATTTTAGTAATTTTTTATCAAAAGAATTTTATATATATGTTATATATATTATATATAATTAATAATTAATAATTTTATTTTGATTCGATTTTAAATTCTTTTGATAAAAAATCTCTTTTGATTAAAAGTATATATTAATATTTTAAATTCTTTTGATAAAAATTCTCTAAAATGTGATAAAAGAAATTATAAATTAACAGATAAAATTTACGAAAATATCTTGTTTTTAATTTGGTGCGATTCAGATCTACTAAAATAATGCTCACAACATTTCACAAAAAGTCTTTATACAAAAGTTTCTCTTACCAATTCCATGATGCTTAGCTCGTTCAGTCAGAAAATCTGGATCGTGGATACGTTGCGCACCAGATATAATCTCCTCACCTCGCATAAACATGTCGTACGAGTTGGACATTTTCTACAATGCAAGATCAACAATAATTTTTAAAGAGGACATTATCATAAAATATTTCATATGTATCATAGAATACTTTACAGGATTGTTTGGATCTGGCATCGTATAAAAAGGTCTCACAGCAAGAGGATACTTGTCCAAAATATAAAAATCTGTATCATACTGAAAATAACATATTTATATTGAAAATTAAAACTGCATAAATATAATCATAATACATAATAATTTAACAAAATGTTCCGTTAAAGATTCATTCTTTTAACTATGTCGAGTTTTGCTGGTTGGAAATTTTGAAAATCTTACTTTAATTTTAACGAGTTTTCCTAAGAGTTTTTCGTCTGGAGTTGACAGATCATCTTCTTCGCCAAGAGTTACGCCAGCTTCTGCTAATAATTCAATCGCTTGTGGAAATTCCAATTTTAAAGCTGGTTCAAGAAATTTGAAAGGCTCCACAGGATACTGTTGAGCGACTGCCGCTATATCGTCTGCATAGCTATTTAATTTCCAAATGAATAAATATCATCAAAGTCAAAAACTATTATAATATTATGAAAAAAAGAGAGTAAGAAATATAAATATATATTACTAACTTGTCACGTAAACCTTTAAAAAGTTCAGTGAACATTTGTCCAATAGTGTCTACTACCTCATGATAGTGATACTTAAAGGCCATTTCTAAATCAAGGCCTACAAATTCTGTCAAATGTCTGTGCGTATTAGAATCTTCCGCTCTGAAAACTAATCACATTTTTTTAGCGGCTACCAATAATTTTAAATTTTCTTATTTCTATTAGATAATATACCTGCTCCAACAGTAAAAACTTTGTCAAAGTCAGCAGCAATAGCCATCTGCTTGTATAATTGCGGTGATTGAGCCAGATAAGCATTATTTTTAAAATAAGACACTGTAAAGACATTTGCTCCACCCTCACTGGCTGCAGAAATGATTTTAGGAGTGTGTATCTCGACAAAATCCTGAAAAGAAAATAAATTAAAACGAAATGTCTTGATGAAATTGAGCATTATACTCACTTTTTTCGTCAGAATGTCCCTAAATAGTTTACAAGTGGCAGCTTCCACTCTGAAAATCGCTTGATTTGCTGGAGTACGCAAATCTAACACTCTGTTATCCAGCCTAGTATCTTGATTCACTCGAATGTTCAATGCCGTTTCATCTGCTTCGCTGATCGGTCTCGCGGCATCTTCAATCTGTAAAGGAAGCTGTGGCTTGGCAGCGCTTATTACAAATACTTCTTCTATGTGAACTTCCACATCTTCTTGCGAGCACGACTCGATTTTCGATGGTACAGACTTCACTATAGCTTTCACATCGATTATAGATTCTTTGGTGACACTGAAAATAAAACAGAGAAATACCATTTTAAAATTATAAATAATATATATAGTTAAAGTCTAATTAACTTCATAAAAATTTTCAAAATTTATATACTTGGAAATAAATTTAATCATTTGTTTGCTGATTTTTTCATTCACAGCAGCTAATCCCTGCACTGTATATGATTGCTGTCTTAATACGATAAAGCATTGCTTGCCTGCATAACAAACATAAGATTGAAGTTTTATTTGCAAATAATTAATATTTTTTTATAAAATGTAGCATTGTTCACCTTTGGCACGGCTAGTATGTAAGCGACCTCTTATCCAAACCATCTGATTCTCCAGATCTTTATTCAGATTCTTGATTGCTGTAAACTTCCTATCTTCGAATTTTTCCTTACTTTGAATCATGTCCATTTGACCATATTTTCCTACAGATACATCTTCAGCTTCATTTGTAGATTCTTGCTGGGACTGCTGCAGAGTGTACATAATGCAATATTTATTTCTTTTATTAGTTTTTCCAATTAAATTTATTAGATTTAATTAATAATAAAACTGGAAAGTTAATTGTTTTATTAAATGGTAATATTATTCTTATACAAATAGTAAACTTACATTTTGATCTTTTCTTTCAGCCTTTTTTGCTGCTTTTTGCATCTCCTTTTGTTGCTTCTTTAGTGCTTTTTTAGATATTTCATCTCTTTATAATAAAATAACACAAAATATTATTATAAATATTATTTAAAATATTGGATATATATATTGATGTTAATTGCTGATATAATTATAAGAATATTCATATAACATATATAAAAATATAGGATATGATCATAATCATTATATTAATATGTATTAATTAATATAAAATATCTAATATAGTTTATAATTTTGAAAATATAAAACAAAACTTGTGTTTAACTAATTTATTGATGGATATATAATTAGGCATATAATTATACTACATATATCACATATGTTCAAATAAAGTGTAGACTTTCAAAACACAAACAGTCCGACTTTATATTTCAAATGAATACATGCCATATATGAATAAATTGATTATCATATGATAACAATATTTAATTTTTACCTTGCAGAAGAACATTCCTCTGGTTTATCTTCAACCATCTGTGAAAAGATGATGCAATAGAGTAGCAATAGAGATTACATCATCTTATCAACTACCGTTTAAAATATTTCAGCAATTGCAAGAGTTGCAAGCTTAATAATTTATTTTATTTCTAAATTCAAAAAATATATGTATCAATATAATAATATTATTAAAAGTATAGATACAATAATAATATTATATAATATTTATTCTTTAAATTATACCACTAATATACATATACATATATATAATTAATAAGTAGTAAAAGATTGCATAAAAGATTGCACAATATAACTTTGTCAATATATGAGAATAAATAGAATGTTAAAATAAGTATTACATTGCTTGTTATTATTAATATTAAATAATTGAATTAAAAATTAATAATTATGAAATTATAGTCTGAGATAATCATAATTATAATAAGACCAAAACAAACAATATTAAACAACAAAAATGAATAATCTGATTTCAATATTGCGTAATATATAAAGAATATATATAATTACATTTTTTTAAATATATAGTATTTTTTTAAATATATAGTAGGGCATAATTTTAGAGGTTAGAATATATTAATCTAAATTTGAATAAAATAAATTCGAAACTTAGTGAAAATATTAGGAAAATAAATAAAAGTAATACGTATGTAGACGTACTTTGATTCTTTAATAAATTATTATTCTTCCAAAAATTCTAAACCTGCAAATCACTTGTCTACCAACTGGCACTATTCACAAAAATGTAACGCTGACACAGAGATCACACGGATCACATGTTGCCTAACCTAACCCAAACATGTGCTGTCGATGACAGTTGATGATGGTCGTGATTTAATATCGTTTTTTATGCTTTATTTTTTATTGTTTATCTTTCGTGCTGTTTTTTTATTTTTTCATATTTATACGATTTTTTTTCATTTTAATCTCAACGCTTCAACTTCACGCATTTCTATTGAAATCGTAAATCTTTTATAATTTAAAAATTTAATCCGCTCTTTCGTTCTTAAAATCGAATATAAAATTTAACAATTTCATTTACTAAAGAATAAAATGTGTAAATTTTGTTAAATTTTAAAATGTGTTAAATTTTATTTTAAATAAATTTTCAATGACTGTCATCTGCTAATATCATATATTAAAATATTTCAAAGTCTAATTCTCTTACATTATTACTTGTTCCGCATATTTTGTCCCATTTATTATTTAAATATTAATATTTCTATTCTTAAAACGATACAATCATAATCTTGTCAGTATTATAGTGATTTGTACTGAAATGAATAGTTCATTCAAAACATGTTTCAATTTCTTTTAAGTATTTCTTGTGATGAATAATCCATTTGTTTCAGTTTTTATACCTTGTTTTTTTTTTGAATATAAATTAATTTTAAATATGACAAAATATACAAAAAAGTGCAATAAAAATTAATGAATTATGATTATAGATATTTTTTATCTATTTATCATCACCAATTATTTAAATATAGACAATAAGACAGTATTTTTTAACAGGAGGAAAGGAAAGTTTGTGATATTGGGTGGAAATGTGCTCGCTTCGCAAGATCTTTCTTATCGTCACGGTTTTATAAGCTTAACACCATCATCTGCTGATTCCAGTAGGAGAGATGAAGGGATCCTGCTTGCTTTATATGGTTGAGCTTCGATGCCAAGCTTTTCGGTATTTAACAATGCCTGATGAGAACTGGTATTTAAACTCCGGATGGCATAATCAGCTGCCTCATCCCAGCTCTTCCAGCTCACTCCTTTGTGACCTGAAAAAGCCAGCATAGGCGTCTACGCGTAAGCAACTAATCTATGTATAACTTATGCAGATCAAGCTCGAAGAATGTACAAATTATTAAATAACTCCTGAAATATGATGTTATAATTTTTAATTTATTCTATCCAGCTTGAATAAATTTCTTTTTGTGTGCCCATATTTTGTTACATTGTAATATGGCTGCTTCTTGTATGAAATAACATTTCCACACAAGGTTTTATGTAAATTTTAAATTGCCAAAATCTCCTCAAATATCTGTGAATTGATAATATATATTTTATTATATAAATTGTTGAATATATCTTAAAATGTTCATTTTCTTAAAAAAAAAAATTTCGTGTTTTATCTCATGAATAAAATTAATTTAAAATATATACATAATAAATAAATATAAAATGATTTAAAACAATACAATAATAAAATGAGCAGATATCTGCAAGCGAGCAAATGATCAAAAGGATGGCGAGGAGGAGAGCACATTGTAATAAATATATAACATGTATAATGTATAATCCGTGAGTTTTCAGAAAACATGACAATCTCTTATTCACAATATAATTGTACATAACAGCTACTCATTTTTTGGATTTAATTAGAAAATTAATTGAAACTCAAAGAAAGAGAAATAAAAAAGAATGACGCGCGACTTTGATGATTTTTACTTCTTACTTTTCAGCTTATCTGAACCCTCATCGAAAGTGGGATCTTGAATATTCAGCATCAAGCTATTGCCACTGAGGAACACTCTGTTTTGGGAATTAGCAATCTGAAATAAATTTCTCCGTTTTAGCAATTTATACGCACAAATTTTATATAATATAAATTAAATCTCGACTTTATATATCAACTATTTTGCATGCCACAAAATCTGAGCAATTTTTTACTGTACATTAGCAACATTATATGAAGATACTTACTGTACGCGAAATGTTCTGTGCAGCTCGTATTTTACGTAACTTCAAATATCCAGGATTCTGGCTAACAGCTAAACCAAGGTACACTGTATTAAGGAAAACATATATTAAAGCTTTTGAAGAAATCTCTGCATAATATACGTATAATATACAGATTATTTACAAATTATCAATTTAATTCTTCTCAAATCAATAATATAATTGAAAGTTTTAATCATTTGCTATAAAAATCACGAAAAAAAAAAAACAAGACAATTGAAACTACATCTTTCAATTTATGACTAATCACCCTTCCTCCTTTCTTGAACTTATCAATTAATAAAGAACACAATTTGTTATATTATTATATATTATTATAAATTAGTTAAGAAAATTATTTTTGTAAAGGATATCATTTTGGCTGCTTCTGCCTCTCCCTCAGCTTGTACAATTTTTTGTTGTCGTTCCTGTTTAGCTCTTTCTACTACAAAAGCAGCACGTTGGGCCTCTTGCTGTGCTACCTGTTTGGCCTCAACTGCAGCAGTGTATTCTTTGCCAAAACTAAGCTCAGTTATCGAGACGTCATCCAGAACAATATTAAAATCTCGAGCTCGTTCTGTCAATTCCTTGCGAACCATATTAGACACTTGTTGTCTTTGCGTTATCAATTGCGAAGCGTTAAATTTAGCGACAACAGACTTTAACACTTCATTACAGATGCTTGGCAACACCTGGATCGATTTTTACTAATTAATTTTCATGTAACTTAGAGTCATTAATCTTCTATATTAACTAATTTTTATCATAAATTAAAGATTAAGTTTCAGATACAATTTACCTTTGTAAATTAAAATAAATATAACTTATTTTGTATCATTAAAACTCTACGTTTATAATCAAATTTAGACCTTCTCATCGTAATCGAGACCCAGTTGTCGATACATAGCTGGCAATGTGCTAGCATCAGGACGAGAGAGAACACGTAGAGAAATGTTGACCATCTGCAGATCCTTGGATCCTGTAGGTGACGAGATTTTCCTAGGTCTGCTCCTAATGTCATAAATTATCGGATAGTGGAACCATGGAATACGAAAGTGCAGGCCCTCGGTCATGATATCCTTTTGAATGCCACCCAGTCGAGAAAATATGATCGCTCTATGACCAGCCTCAACTGCAAAGTCGATTAAATTTGCATTTAAGGACATTATTCGTCCAAGACGATAATAACTCTGGAGAGAAGTAACGTGTGATTCTCGCAAAAAAATTGAAGTTAACCTGTATACATAGACTTGGAGACGCTGTAGGCTGCAACACCGGCTGCAGCGAGGAATTTGACGCTTATGGGTACCCCATTCGTGCCTTTGCCGAAGCGCGAGGCCATCTCGCTAAATTTGTTTTGCGCCATTTCGGGAAATTATAACGTAAAATCAAGCGACACCGTCGACGAGCCGGCAAAAGGATCGCAAAGAGATCAAGGACACGCGACACGAGAAAGTACGGCGTTGTCAGAGAGAAGACTGAGAGATGTCATTGCCCGCTTTTAGGTGATCCCTGGAAGCGATACTCCCTCTATGGACATTAAAAACGTGAACATGAACTACAAAGCCAATGTTCACGAATGTTCTCAGAGGGTAACATATATGTCCCTCTGATAATACCAATAATATAAATAAAAATATAAATAATTTAATTAATAATAATTTATTATAAAAAAATATTAGTATGTTCTCTCTTTCCACCCTATTATTTATTTATTTATTTATTTATTTATTTTTTATATCTTCTTTTTCTTTTTAATATCATTTATTTATTTATTTATTTATTTAGCTCGCTATAAGTCAATCGTTTAAAATGCAAAACTAAATATTATATAATTTGACTTCGGAAAAGCGCGGTAAAATAATCTAATAAATTCAAATAATTAGCTCCGTGATAAATTGTTTAATAAAAAATCAATTTTAATCAATAAATTAAAATACTTTCATAATTTAATATTCCACGTTAATGTATATTTTATAATATATAAAATATTTTGGCAATGAATTATCGATAACACGGCCTTCGATTTTGACAATATAAATTATAAACAGTAGTGTTCTATACGTTACCGCTTTGTCATCATTCGCACGGTGACTCTGGAGTAATAAAGTAGTGGTGAGAAACGTTTCGTATACTGTAATTTTTTTGCTAAACACAATTACGATTAGTATTGAAACATAATTTGCTATAAATATTAACAAAAATTAATTAATTCGAAATTAATAAACAACACGAAACTGTCGCAACGATGAATCTTTATCAAATTGTAATTATTCATTACTGCGATTAAAAATTGAAACAGGGAATACATAAAAGAGGATAAAAAAATTAATTATGTTATAATATCTATCACTAATGCTTATAATATTTTTTAACAATACTAGAATTAATTATATTTCGACCAATGCTTTAAATTTTCTCAATCCTTATTAATTAAACAATATACAATTTAATCGAGAATCGATTAAATGATAGGAATCTAAGATATTAAATCACTTCGATAATTGCGATCTTTACGGACAATAATTATCATTTTAATACTTAGAGTCACAAATATATTACATCCGTGTCACTTTATCGTTCTTGACAATCTAAATATAATTTAGATTGTGAGAGAACACGAAGTAAAATCGAATTAAAGATGCAAATAATTAGCATAACGAAAAATTCCGTGATAAATTGTTTAATAAATAACGAATTTTAAATATTTCAATAAATTAAAATATTTGTATAATTTAATATTCCACGTTAATGTATATTTTATATATATAAAATATATAAAATATATAAAATATATTTCAGCAGCGAATTATCGATAACATGGCATTCGACTGTGGCAATATAAAATATAAACAGTAGCGCTCTATATACATTGTCGCTATGTCATTCGCACGATGACTCTGGAGTAATAAAATAGTGGTGAGAAACTTCGTATACTATAATTTTTTATTAAACAGAATTACGATTAGTATCAAAACATTTTGCTATAAATATTAACAAAAATTAATTAATTAAAAATTAATTAGCGACATGAAACTGTATCGCAATGATAAATCTTTATCGAATCGTAATCATTCATTACCGCGATTAAAAATTGAAACAGGGAATAAATAAAAGGGGATAAGAGAATTATATATAATCTTTCAATTTTTCGATATAATCATCGATGCTTATTATAATATTTCTTTAACAATATTAGAATTAAATATATTTCGAGCAATGCTTTAAATTTTCTCATCCTTATTAATTACACAATATACAATTTAATCGAGAATCGAAAAATTATGAAATTATAGGAATCCAAGATTTTAAATAATCACTTCGATGATTGCGATCTTCACGGACAATAATTATTATTTTAATACTTAGCGTCACAAATATATTTTATCCGTGTCACTTTATCGTTCTTGACAATCTAAATATAATTTGGATTGTGAGAGAACACGAAGTAAAACAATCGAATTATAGATGCAAATAATTAGCATAACGAAAAACTCTGTAATAAATTATTTAATAAATAACGAATTTTAATCAATAAATTAAAATACTTCTATAATTTAATATTCCATGTTAATGTATATTTTATAATATACATATATAATATATTTCGACAACGAATTATCGATAACACGGCGTTAGATTTTGGCAATATAAAATATAAACAGTAGCGTGCTATACATTACCGCTTTGTTATCATTCGCACGGTGACTCTTGAATAATAAGGTAGTGAGAAACGCTTCGAATATTGTAATTTTCTTACTAAACACGATTACGATTAGTATTGAACCATAATTTTCTTTAAATATTAATAAAAATTAATTAACAATATGAAATTGTATCGCAATCATAAATCTTTATCGAATCGTAATGCTTTATTACCGCGATTAAAAATTGAAACAGGGGATATATAAAAGGAGATAAAAGAATTAATTATATAATGATATTTCGATCATTGCTGTTAATTATAATATTTCTTTAACAATATTAAAATTAAATATATTTTGAACAATGCATTAAATTTTCTCAATCCTTGTTAATTAAACAATATACAATTTAATCGAGAATCGATTAAATTAAGAATCTAAAATAATCGCTTCGATCGTTGCGATTTTTACGGACAATAATTATTATTTTAATATTTAGAGTCACAAATATATTTTATCCGTGTTATCTTATTTTTCTACTTCACTATGTAAATATAATTTGGAGTGTAAGAAAACACGAAGTAAAACAATCGAATTATAGATGCAAATAATTAACATAACGAAAGGCTCCGTGATAAATTGTTTAATAAATCAATTTTAATCAATAAATTGTTTTATAGTATATAAAATATTTCGACAACGAATTATTAATAACATTATGTTCGACTTTGATCACGTAAACAATAATGTGTTATTGTTTGTATATGTTACGGTTTTGCTATCATTTGTTCGGTGACATTTGAGCAGTAAAGTAACGATGGGAAATGCTTCGTATGTTAATTAATTGTTTAATAAATAATCGTTTATTTAATCTATAAATTGAAAAACTACCACAATTTAATATTTTCATGTATAACAGTATACATATGTTATAGTATGTAAAATATTTCGGCAACGATTTATCGATAACACGATGTTCGACTTTGGCAATATAAACAATAGCTATTGTTAATATGTTACGGCTTTATTATCATTCGCATGGTGAGCGATAAAATGGTGCGAAACGCTTCGCATATTGTCGAATTTTTTTTCTAAATACGATTACGATTAGTATCGAAACATAATTTGAGCTAATTACTAATAATAAAAATAAATTAACTTATGATAAACGTCATGAAAATGTATCGCAACGATAAATCTTTATCGAATCGCAATTAATTACTGCGAATAAAAATTGAAAAAGGGAACATTTAAGGGGGATAAAGAAATTAATTTTATTATGATCTTTAACTTATTATAATAATTTCTCTAACGATACTTATTAGAATTAAATAAATTTCGACCACTGCTTTAAATTTTCTGAATCGGCAATCACTCATAGAATATTTCAACGACGAATTATAACAATAACATAGTATAAGTCTGCCTTGACGATATAAACAGTATCGCGGTAAGGTTTATGACTTACGATCATTCGCACAGTAACATTGAACAATAAAGTAGTGACGTTTCATATATTATCAAATTCTCTCTCTACAACTACTTCTAGTCAACCTTGGCGATGTAAACAGTACCGCGGTAATATTTCTGATTTACGATCATTCGGTCAATGGCTTTCGAGCAGTGACATAGTGATGTGAAACGTTCCATATATTATTAAATTCTTTCTCTAATCATAATTGCAAATGCAACGAGGAACTTTTCGTGAATGAGTGTAAGTGCAACGAGGAATTCAAATGAGTGCAACGAGGATTGGAGTGCCACGAGGAAAAAGTGAAACAATAGAAAAAAGAAGGTCTTAGAAACAGATGGATGGATCGATAAGATATGATGTAAGTCATTAATATTTTAATTATTTATCACATTCATTATTTATTATATTGTTACGTTCCCGCATCCCATCCCCCTGAATGTATTCGTCACCTATTGAATTCTTTCGGCGGGAAGTCAGTCGAAGAAGATCATTTCCGCGCGCGTTGTCAAGATGTTGTTAAACAACGACTGCCAGAGAGTCCGAGCCCAGCTGTCAAGTTGTGCGGACGCGAGTTTTATTTACTATATTACAAAATAAATTTTAAATTATGTATTATATTATATATAAAATTATATATAATATAACCCTCCCATAGGGTACACCTTGTCGTGGTGGGAGGGCTTAGTACTTGGATGGTGCCTTGAGGTTTATCATAAATTTTTCTATTTATGATAAATCTTAAGGTGCTTGAATGGGAAGCTAAGTATCCTTTCGCGTCGTTAGTATCATCAACGTGCCGCGGACGGTAAGCGCTTCGTCAACGCGTCGCGTTAGGTATATACATATTAGGGAGTGCCGTTAAAGGTATATACATATTAAGTATATACATCGCGTGATCAAATATAAAATTTTTAATCGCATCGAAATAGTGCGGGAGTGCCGTTCAGTATCGCGCGTAAAATAACGAAAATAGCGATATAAAAATATCGCTCGCGAGTGCGGGAGTGTAGTTAAAAGTATCGCGCGTCAACAACATGAGAGGAGGAGGAGGCCTGGGAGAGGCATCCTGCACCGGCGGAACAACCTGATGGTGAATATTATTATTTATATATTAATTGTTATAAATCGTTAACTTGTTATAAACGAATAATAATTTGATTTTATTATTTAAATGAAAGAGAAAGATTTTTATGAAAGATTTTTAATTTAAAGAGAAAGATTTTTATGAAAGTCATAAAATTTTCTATTTAAAAAACAGTTTCAAAAATTTATAAAATTTTTCCATACGTGTTTATCTGCTTATTATTTTACACATCGGATATAAAATTCCGCGCGATAAAAATGT